CGAGTAAAATCTTGTTTTATATTTTTAATGTGCCTACCGCTTCCATTCATTTTGTCAATTTACGCTCTTCGAACTTGGAAAGTGAGATTATCGCTGTTTTATCTATGAAAACCGTAATAGTACGGTTTTCCGTATATCGCGCGTTAGTACCGGTCTGTACCGGACGTTCACCGGAATTCACACACATTTTGCGCTAGACCAAAAACATGACGGATCGTTCTCTTAACCCTTCGACTGCCGTGTAGGTCACGCGGGCCCTACACGGCGTACTGAAGTAATAATGTCGATATCTGTTACTAACGCGACGGATTATCTAGTAGGCCATGAGAAAGACGAATCCGAAGATACAGATGTAGCTGTGTGTAAGAAACCTAAAAGAATAAAATTTATATTAGAAACAAAAGAAGGCAAAGGTAGGCAATCCAGACGCTTAGTAACAGAAATTGACTTAAATCACTTACTTCAGTGCGCTACTCAGGGCACTAGCCACCTAAGAGGTTGTCAAAGAGTTTTATTAAAAACCTTAACGATAGTTCGATCGGATATTCCCGGGCCGCGACCCACGTACGATATGCGGCCGGGCTTATTCTCGTTTTCCAGAATTTTCTGTCACTAATTAACATAATTCAATAGATAATCGCTTTTAATTACAACTGCAACTCTTGGGAAGTGAAGTAACATTTTCCTATTTGTTTGGTCCATTTTCGATGGTTTGATTGGTCCATAGATTAACTTCTGAACTCTTCCTAACTACCGCGCACCAATCAATACTACGATTCCCTGTTAAAGGTGCCGGTGACTTTGCTGTTGTTGTATCTCCACAATCAATCGACATCAAGTGAGCCGAGAACATGTCTCTAGATTTGTTTCCAGAAACATCTTAGAACGTTTTCAACTTCGAATACGCCAAATCGTTTTTTTTTCACCGCGTCGCGCCCTAACTTTTAATCTATCATATCTATACATATAAATAAAATTAGAGTGTCTGTTTGTAGTATTAAAATACCCGCGTTTTACTAAATGCATATGAACGTACACCAAACATAAACCAAACGGTACATACACCAAAATAAGATTTTTTACAATTTTTGTCTGTCTTTCTGTTTGTTCCGGCTGATCTCTGGAACGGCTGGACCGATTTTGATGAGACTTTCACTAATAAGTAGCTGATGATATAAGGAGTAACTTAGGCTACTTTTTTTTCTTCGCTTCGCCCCGCGGCGTCACCCGCAGTTATGGTCGTACCGCGCGCAACATGGCGGGCTTCGCCTATCAATTATGAATTTTAATGTTTCCGAAGCGAAGCGAGGGCGGACCGCTAGTATAAAATATATAAAATATAAAAATCACATCGTCAAAAATAGATCCTTCAGTTTTGATTTTAATAGACTTTTATATATAGGTAGACATTCCATCACGGACGCATCAAGAATTCGAGAAATTAATTCAAATTGCTATTGATTACACTTCTCATTAGTCCAGCATAAGTCGTGCCTTCAAACTTAATTCGCATATCGCGTGTGATATGCGATTGTGTATTAATAATCTTTCGCAGTTAATATAATCAAGTTTATATAATATAGTAATATAAAGAATAAATTAAAAAGTTAATAAAAAAAGAAGATACATAATTCCAAATTCAAATTAGGAAAATGTGTGATTTTTATTTATTTTTCGTACTGTCAAGATGAGTGAATCTAATGAAGAAATTCGATACATTTTAAAATTTTACTACAAAAAGGCAAAATGCAGCGCAAGCCGCGAAAAAAAATTGCGATGTTTATGGACCTAGTGCAATGTCTGTGAGAGTAGCACAAATTTGGTTGAAGTGTTTTCAATCAGGAAATTTTCATGTCAAAGATGCACGTCGCTCTGGTCGCCCTATTACGTATAAAATGCCATTTTTGAAAAAATAGAGCAAGATCGGTATATCAGTAGTTACGACGTAGCTGAAGAACTGGGAATTGACCACAAAACAGTTTTGACGCATTTAATCTGGCTCATTTAACGCGGTACTTCTACAACGCGATTTACGAAGCCCTGTGCCGCGGCACTTTTGTGTGCCGCTAAAAATTATTAACAAAGTTTTTTGCACTGTGGCTAATTAGAAAACTTAAATCTTTTGTTTGTGCGCCAAATTGTGCGGCTACATTAATTTGTGATAATGTTTTCCGTTAACTTTTACACTTGCGACTTTCTTAACGTTCTCGATAGCGTAAAAGTTAAGCCATTTTTGTATGCAGTTGGAACAGCGCCCCTAGCGGCAAACGTACGCAAACGATCCCATTCTATACAAACTAGACGATGACGGTATTTTTTTTTTGATAACTCCATCTTATTGTTTCTTTAAAGCGGTTGCCCTCAATTAAAAAAAATAGTATTATTATTCGCCAATAGATGTCGGGAAGAGTTGATTATTGAAAACACGAATAAAACAACATTTTCTGAAAATAAATCGTAGCTAGATCGATTTATCGCCCCCGAAATCCCCTGTATACTAAATTTTATGAAAATCGTTGGTGCCGTTTCCGAGATTAAGATTATAATATATATACCAGAATTGCTCGTTTAAAGGTATAAGATATGAGTTAACTTTTACGCTATTGAGAGCGTTAAAAAACTCGCACTAAGCACATTGTATTTTTGTTCTTGTCTCAATCCCAGAGCACTCTGTATTACCCAAAAAAAAAACATACGTGACGATCAATCTAAGATTTCGCTGTTAACAAATTATCCGTGTAATTATCAAATCATGTTTATAATTAATGTAATTCATATTTACGTTGAATGCATTGTCTGTAACAAATTAACTGTCCGTTTAGCGAATGAATAATGGAAGTAGCCGCTTTGTATCAGATGAGATAGTAGAAAAAAAGTATTGTGTGTGTGTTTTTTTTTTTCATTTTTACCCTTAACTTTGAAAAAAGATCGGTGCATTAAATTGGAATAGAACAGTTTATTTTCACTTTTTTTGTCTTCTGCAAAAAAATATATAATGTTTGCTTTTAAATCGATAAGAATAAAACTGCTTTTACCGTTTCATTTCGCGTTTTTTTAGTGTCGACTAAGTCGTCATTGTCCACGAAAATCGTTAAATATTGCCCACTTCGATTCTCGAGGGATCTTCTCTGTGGGTCGCGTTTCCGATCCGGTGGCAGATTCTGCGAAGTATTTACTGCTCTTGCTAGGACTAGTGTTAGCAAATTCGCCAGGCTGAGCCCCGTGAGCTCGCCCTCGAGACTTCCAGCATAGGTTATCAAAAAAAAAAGGTATCAAGAGTTTTTGCCGTAAAAACTGGCCAGTCGACGACCCACTTGATGGTTAGTAGATAGCATTGTGAACCTTTGTCAACAATGCCGGGAGGCTGAGCCAAGTTGCCGGAAGATTATGTTACGCTTAACGGACTTTGTAAAAAAGGTTTATCTGCACGCCACAATACGTGTACCTTATACCTAACACATTTGTGTTTACTGGCGGTAGGACCTCTTGTGAGTCCGCGCGGGTAGGCACCACCGCCCTGCCTATTTCTGCCGTGAAGCAGTAATGCGTTTCGGCTTGAAGGGTGGGGCAGCCGTTGTAACTATACTTGAGACCTTAGAACTTATATCTCAAGGTAGGTGGCGCATTTACGTTGTAAATTTCGATGGGCTCCAGTAACCACTTAACACCAGGTGGGATGTGAGCTCGTCCACTCATCTAAGCAATAAAAAAAAGATACATGGATAATTTGTTCACAAGTTACTCTGTTAGCAATATGTGTTCTCATGTACAAAGACGTCGTGTAAGCTAATTAGAATACAATAATTATGACGGAGCCTGCTCGTCTGATTTGTTAGATTAAGTTGTTGGATCATTCCTTGACCTCGGCTTTGTGCTCTGAATGTTTCATCTCCGAGTCTGACAGATTCGTTCGATTCAAATTACGCATTATCAGCTAATTCGTTAATTAACTACTTTAAAGTGTATTATAATTGCTTTTTTTTTATTGATCGTTAGGCTTTAAATTTAGAACAATAGACAATCGAGAAGCGAGTTTAATTAGGTGGGAATATGCAGAAGAGATACTTTTCCTAAGGACGAACGTAGGCAAAGGGATAGGCAAGTTGTAGCGGTCGTATATATAGTAATAAATAATATAATAGTATATTATCTGTGTCTTCTAATTTGCAGCTGACATAAATATGAGAGATCCTCTGTCAATATATATTTTTATAACATAGAGTGATGAACTAGCTCGCGGCCCACCTGGTGTTAAATGGTTACAAGAGCCCGTGGACGTAACAAAGTGACTGAGCCGCCACCGGTTTCAAACTTTAGGGTTAACTATATCAATTACGTTACGTTTTATATAAATTACGAAGAATTTGTTACCTATTCGAGAAAGGGGCTATTCCAAACACGCGCGGACGCGTAGGTGAGCTCATGGGTACAACCTGAGAGAATTTGCTAGCATTGGCAAAAGCAGCGCTTAGCAGAATCTACATTTCTTCATCGTGGAATATTTTCGTGGATATGGATTAAATGTGTATTTTATTAGGTACATAGATTTGGTATATAATTGGCTATTATCTAACATTCTCAACCTACAACAAAACATAAATGAAGTAATTAAAATCACTTACAGTTTAATACCGCGTTTTTTATTTGTCAGTATATTAATTCCGACGTTACCAATACTCGTACTATTACAGTTTTCGTAGTTAATGACGAGGAAATTATTATACTACTAATAAATTAAAAAAAGGTTTTTCTTGTGCAATGTATTGTACACATTAAGGGTATATCAGGCATCCGTTTCTATAGATATTTTAAAGTTTATTTTTCTATCCTTGGAAATCTGTTGACATTCAAACATTTCCTGTACAGTATCATTTGTGAATCTTGGAAGTACCTAACCTGGCTTTTTAAACGAGCAGTACCTCAGCATCTTATTTACGATCAAATTGAGGGTACATTTAAATAATTAATTTTTCTAATGAACTTTTTGTTGCTTTGCTCAGGAGCGTCTCGGTGGCGGCGGGCTAGGTCTGGGCGGCGGCGGATTCAGAGGCGGCGGGCAGCCATCGCTGGCTGACTTCCAGCCGCCGTACTTCCCGCCGCCCTTCGCCCCCGCACCGCACCCCGCCAGCCCTCATCACCAGCAACAGGTAATAATTATAAACTGTTCTGTTTGTTATTATTCTTGATTGCAAACAAAAGCCCCTTTATCTCATCTAATCTCGTTTATTTTCATTTTATCTCAATGAATTATAGTCTGAAATAAATCAACTTCATATTGTTTCGCTCCATATCATTTTGTATTTTTATTTAACTGAATATTTTTGTTTTTTACCAAAAATTGATGATCTTTATAAACTTGACACTGGTAACACCGGCGTTGCGAAAAAATCCGGCTGGCATACTTAAAACAAAAGAAGAATTATTATGTACCAGATTTTTTGTTTAATATATTTTTTTACCCAATCCAAAGGTTTTTGTGCTTGATTTTACTTCAAAGTCAATTCTTACCACCAGAGTCATGGCATGGAGTACGGAGGAGGCGGTGGTGGTGGCGCGGAATACGCTCAGCACTACGCCCCACAGCAGCTGCTACCACGACACCACGGACACCACGAACCACACGCGCATCTGCGACATCACAGGGACCACCACGACGCTATACATGCACACCATGTGAGTGCTACTAATTTCCTTTTTTTTCCTACCTAAGCTGATAGTGCCTTCTACTTTACCCTGAACGACAAGGCGCTCTATGGAATCATTTCCTCGCCGGGAAATATGTTCAAAAAATGATAGTATGGGTCCATGCACGAGCGCCGAAAGACGCTGCTTAATGCCGAGTTCTGGAAGAATGGAGGTATTGGTGCAAAGGTCGGTCCATGAAATACCAAGCATAGGCTGTGTCAGCGTAATCCTAACAAGTAGGTGAGCTCACGGTGCTCAAACCTGAAGACGTTACTAACACTAACCCTAGCAAGAGCAGTGCTTCGCAGAATCCACCACCGGATCGGAATCGCGATCCACTGAGAAGATCCGGAGAAAAACTCACTGGGCTGTGTCTATGGGACTATTGGCAATATCATTACTAAGTTATTGTTCAACTGCTTTCAATTTATGATTCAAAAAGAATGAAAAGCTTTCCGGGGTAGAGAGTTGCTCGTGCCAGTTTCTGCTCCATAAACTACCACCATAGATAAACGAACCGAGAAACAAACGGTCGAATTTCTTACAATTGATATACCCGGTGTCGATTGATTTCAGTCGTTTGTAATGATAAAAAGAATCCCGTATATGAACCCAAGTTAAAAACTTATGTTTATACAAAATGTTATCCAAATGTTGTTCAACCCTACATCCAAGGTAACATACATACATCCAAACACACAAATTTTCGTATTTTTTAATATCAGTGTAGACAGATCAAGTCGAGACTTCTAATAACTTATAGTGCAAATTGAAGAACGGTTATATCTCACTCACTCTTCCCCTGAAACTGAAGTACAAGATTAGGTCTCTAATTTTCATCACATTATAATTTATTATCATTATTTATGTCCGAACGTAGGGTTGTCCTTAACTTCTATCATTTTGTTCGATTATCCCGAAAAATTACTGCAGCAAATATTTTAGTACCAATGACAAATCACATCATTGATATTATTTTTTTAATAACTTTATTACATTACACATCACAGTATGTACTCATCGAGGGTGAAACGCTATTTTGTTTAAACGACATTTTTCCAATTTACAGGAGAGCTATAGTAAGTTCCAATTTAAAGTTCTAAGAACTATTTAAAGTTTTTAAATTTAGAAAAATATCATAAAAAAAAAACTTCTTCAGCTATTTGTATGGAGCAAACTTCATTGAAGTTCAATTAAAAACATCGAACTGTTGATACTAATCTACATATACCTATATATATAAAAATGAATTGCTGTTCGTTAGTCTCGCTAAAACTCGAGAACGGCTGGACCGATTTGGCTAATTTTGGTCTTGAATTATTAGTGGAAGTCCAGAAAAGGTTTAAAAGGCAGATAAATATGAAGATGCTCGGAATTAAATAAAAATAACAATTTTGTTTTCCCTTTGATGTGTCCCCCGTCGGACGGATTCCTTTTGTTTGTTTTAAGTTTATTTTATACAAAAGTTTAGAACTTTTATCTATCGATCGAGGCACTACGAAGTCTGCCGGGTCAGCTAGTGCCAAATAAAAAGTACCTTTAATTAGGTACAGAAAAATGTCGCGTATTAAGCGAAATGCCGCTTAAACTAAATAACCTTTCACTCCTCGTAATTCCTATATTTCTGTTAATTTCTAAAAGTCGTTTAAAGTAAGATATACTATTTCCTCCGAGAACAGAGTAATGTCAAGCCACTTTAAAAGATTAACCCGGCTAATGTTCCGGCTGTGGGGCCATCACTATTGTGTAAAGAATACGGACGCTGGTCGTATCGGAGACCGCGGATGTTCCGATCGCATTTTTCCTATTGAAACTCTTATTTATGAACTCGGTTTTTATACTCAATCATTATTATTGTTATCTTTAATGCATTTTGGACGTGGAAAACGAAAAGTATAAGGTTTTTACAATAAATGTAATTATTAACAAGAATTGTTAGTTTTGAAGTTTACAAAGACGTATTTTTCGGAATTCAGAAAATGGTTTGATAAGCAATTTGTAACATGTCTATTAGTGAAATACTGGGGCCATCACTATTGTGTAAAGAATACGGACGCTGGTCGTATCGGAGACCGGATGTTCCGATGGCATTTTTTCTATTGAAACACTTATTTATGAACTCGGTTTTTATACTCAATCATTATTGTTATCTTTAATGCATTTCGGACGTGTAAAACGAAAAGTATAAGGTTTTTACAATAAATGGAATTAGTTGTAATAACTAAGAAGAAATGATTGTTATTTTTAAGTTTACAAATACGTTTATGTTTCGAAATTCAGATAAATGGTTTGATAAACAATTTGTATAATGTCTCTTGAAATAAGTACGAAACCCCTTTTAGTACTCATAAAAATTATATTAAGCTGTGCTGGAAGGCACCAGGTTTTTTACTTCTATGATTTTCATTTTAATACTATAAATATTTACACTAAAAATTTCAAATACCAAAAAAATAAAAACATGATGCTTTTTTGTTTTTTAAGAATTTGTACATTTGAGGGTGAAGGAAAATTAATTAAATAAAAAGAAAAGGTTAAAAAAAAAAGATAAATTTATCCCTAATGGGAAATGCAAAGGACTTTAGTCCATACAGCCAGGCCTTGTAAAAAAAGATAAATAATACTATGAATCTTATGACAGCTGTCACACGGAGGCTTCAGTTATGGAGGCGGCGAAAGGAGGGCGGACTACGGCGCGAGGGAGCAACACGAACTCGCACTGCACCACGCGCTGCATTCGACAGACGAAACGCCGGTAATATATTGAATTCTTAATTTAACTTTAACGTTCATGATTTGAAAAATTGTAAAAAGAACATTTACAATCCAAAAATATGCTTATACGTATCGAGGAGTGAAAACGTATTGCTTGGAACGTATATAACCCTTGCATTTAACGCCCTCAGCTCTAGCACTAGGAGCAGATTTAGGGACCCCGGTAACCGTGCAAGCTAACCTAAGCATCAGCCCGTTGTGTTTCTCGCCAGATCTTCTCGGCGGGTCGCGATTCCGGTCCGGTAGTAGATTCATTCGCGAAGCAGCTGCTCTTGAGTTGTTTGGTCTCCTTCGGAGGCGCACGGGCAGCTGTTAGCAAATTCCAACCCTCCTGGCTGAGCGTTTGCTCGTCCTCCTGCCCTGGTGAAACTGGTGAGGCCTTCGAGCCGACAGTAATCCTTCCTTGATAAAAAAAAAGTAGTTTGTACGTACAAATTTAATGTCGTGCCAATCGGTTGCATAAATGAATTATAAAAAAAATTCAAAAAGCTATATTTTCTTATTAACTTCGAGTGGTTATGCCAACTTCACCGATCGAGTAGGTGAGCCAATTCCAACCGTCCTGGCTGAGCCTTTGCTCGTCCACCTGCCCTGGTGAAACTGGTGAGGCCTCCGGGTCACCAATAAATCCTCAAACATAAAAAAAGGCTGTTTGGTTTAAGCAACATTTTTTGTAACTTTCCAGAAGAGCCATTTGAAGTTTAAAATTTTAGAAAAAATTCATAACGAAAAACATCTTCAGCTATTTGAATGAAGTAAACTTAATTGAAGTTCAATTAAAAATATAGAACTGGTGATGTTTATGCCAAATAAAACGGACCTTAAATATAATACATAGATAAATATCGCGTATTAAGCGAAATGTCTCTTAAACTAAACTAGAGGTCCCCAGTAGTCGAAATTCGACTATAATTAATTGGAATTGTAAATTGGTACACTATTATGATTGTATTTTATACTTCTATAATCACAAATTTCGCCAAGACTACACTATAAAAAATATTTACAAAGGCAAACAATATTTAATCTATTCTCAATTTGACAACAGACGCCAAGAACAAAAGTTTGACAATAAATAGTATGCATGCGTGTGTGCGTCAAATACATGGTATGTAGTGTGTGTAATGTTTTCTTTATTGATTTAATGTATCTTTTATGCATTATTTAAAAAAAATATTAGCATTGTGCACTTCTCCTCTATATTCTCTATAAGTGTGGAAAATTTCATACTCCTCCGTCCGCGCAATTTTCGTAATTAGGGATACAAAGTTTTTGCTTCACGTATTAATATATAGATAGCTTTTCACCCCTCGATATCATTAATAAGTTATACCTAATCATAAAATCGTGTGGTGAACTAAACAATGATGGTAACGAGTTTTAAAATTTCTCACCATCTATCTATCTATCTATCTATCAGCTCTCACAGAGGCCCACTAATGGACATGAGCCTCCCCCAAACTTCGCTCCCTATAAAAAATTCTCATCTTCTTCTTCTTCATAGCGTTTCTCGGTCTAATGTCAGTGTCTGCTTTCCTACTGAAAGTCATTCACTAGAAAAAAAACACTATTAAAATTTTATTAGTGTTCCGTTAAAAAAGAGAGATCGTAGGAAATTTTGTGCGTCATAAAACGCGTTAGACATATAAAGGCCGATAGTTCCACTTGCCATATTTAAAGATGTTACTATCAACCTTGTTATTTTAATTAAGTACCTGAATATTATTTGATGTATATCTGTGCATGAAAAAAAATAATAAGAAAACCATAAGTATACACATATGTAATTAATTACGTTACTTTTAAATATTATTAATATAGTAATGAAACAAATTTAATTAAATTATTTTGAAGAGGAAACGGAATATAAAACGACTATCAAAAAAAAATACACAGATTACACAAACATGTCGAGCGCGTTCAAAAATTCCATCCCTCAGAGTCTCGATACTTTATTAAAAACCAATAAATAACGGAGGAGCACATCCGTCCATACAAAAGGAATTTAATAACCCGAGAACAAATTAAGCTCGAGCTATTATAATCCAAAACACTACGTACCTAATATCTACTTAAATTTTTCTCCTTATTAATATCGAACACGAAAATTTAAGGGCAATATTTTGTTTTCGGTTTTAGAACGCCGCGATGGATGACACCACTGGTTTCATGACGGATCTGCCTTTGTTGAAAAGTGAGTACATTAAAACTACTTTTGTTTTTTTTTTAATGACGTTAGTATTCCTTATTTATATTTCTTCACAGTGAGATTTAGCACGATACGTTTCTCAATCGTTGTGGGCTTTGTATAGGTAAATTACGGCAGCAATTAAATAGAAGCGTTAACTTGACAAAACTTCAGAAAAGTATAACTATGGATTGAGGATGTATTAGTAGTAACGCGATTAGACCGTGGTAGTTTAACAGTATCGTCTGATAAGAAGCAAAAAAACTATATAGCCAATAACGGTAACTATAAACTTACAATAAAAATCAAATTCGCAAAATTATAATTTGCGTAATTACTGGTGGTAGGACCTCTTGTGAGCCCGCGCGGGTAGGTACCACCACCCTGTCTATTTCTGCCGTAAAGCAGTAATTCGTTTCGGTTTGGAGGGTGGAGCAGCCGTTGTAATTATACATGAGACCTTAGAACTTATATCGTAGATGTATATCGTTGTAGATGTCTATGGGTTCCAGTAACCACTTAACACCAGGTGGGCTGTGAGCTCATCCACCCATCTAAGCATTTTTTTTTTTAAATCTCGAATGTGATGAAGAACATGCACCAAACAAAATTGTATTGCGTAATATCTTAAATCCGAAAGCTGCGTAACATAATCAACTAAGAATTTCAGAAAGGCCAAGATAAAATTTCATTATCGTTTTAAAACAACAAACAATTAACACGCAACAAAACAAAAATGACATAGGTAAAAAAGTTTTAAACCAAAAATAAATATTGCAATGACTGTACGTACTACTTACTAGCTTACAAATAAAAAGCAAGGAAATTAGATTGACACCAAGATCACGTGATGCGTTCATCTTAAAGACATAGCGAACGGAAATTACCAGTGTTGGTAAAAGAGTTAAATGATCCGAAGTGTTCTGTTGACTCATCGATAATGTCTTTCGTCAGATGTCGAAATGTACGGTTTGACAACTAATTCAATAAAATATTACCGACGGTAGGAACGCATATTGTAAGCTAAATAGTTACTACTGAATATGCGAAAAGGTTAACTGACAAGTCAGTGTTACGAAGTTTTTTTTTACGATTTAAGAAACATCTATAGATCTCTAGATATTGCGTAGATGGGTGGACGAGCTCACAGCCCACCTGGTGTTAAGTGGTTACTGGAGCCCATAGACATCTACAACGTAACTGCGCCACCCATCTTGAGATATAAGTTCTAAGATCTCAAGTATAGTTATAACGGCTTCCCCACCCTTCAAACCGAAACGCATTACTGCTTCACGGCAGAAACAGGCGGGGCGGTGGTACATACCCGCGCGGACTCACAAGAGGTCCTACCATCAGTAAAAATTCGATTGGTTTTCCATATTATACCACCGTATATACTAATCTTGAAATTGACAGCACACGATCAAACTTGATATAGAACTACCGTCATAATCAAGATCAGCTGAAGATCCATTTAAAATAAAGGCGATTTTTTTTCTGGTTCTTTAATCATATTCAAGAGCAGTTGTATCGGAAAGCCATATTTAAAAAATAACCTTTTTCATGGTTATTTGGCGTTTAAACTATTTTATTCATTATTAATTGACCCGGCAGACTTCGTAGTGCCTCAATCGATAAATAAAAGAACTAAACTTTTGTATAAAATAAACTTAAAACAAACAAAAGGAATCCGTCCGACGGGGGACACGTCAAAGGAAAAACAAAATTGTTATTTTTATTTAATTCCGAAATTTTTCATATTTATCTACCTTTTAAACCTTCTCTGGACTTCCACAAATAATTCAAGATCAAAATTAGGCAAATCGGGCCAGCCGTTCTCGAGTTTTAGCGAGACTAACAAACAGCAATTCATTTATATATATATATATAGACAGATAGAAGATAGATTACTTCATTATTTACGTACTATTATATCATTACGAATAATCAAGTAGCGTTAGTGGTTATATTTCGCTGCCAAACTGACAATAACTTGGCATAAAATCATGGTCCATTTTGTAAAGATCAAAATTACATGTAGTATTGCGATTACTAATTAACAATATATGTTTAATTCAACTTATCGCTCAGACCGTACCGTCGTCTTAATCTATAATTTAAATTGCACGAACATCCGACCGACAAAATATGTATTATTAACTTATCAAACATTTTATTGTTACTGTAGCGATGACCCGCCGAAGATAAAACTGTAATTAGGCCTCATACCGCACTTATCGGATAGGTGTATCGATTTTTCTAAATAGATTGTAAAAAAAGAAAAGAAAAAAAAACTATCTCATTCAACGGCCGAATGAATCAATATCAAAGAAATAAAAGTATCGATCAATCAAACATTACTTTAATAAGGTTTCACCGAACCATGTTCAGATGTCGCTACGTTCGCCCGTTCCTAATTTAAAAACTTGACGTTCGTAACAGTTAGCTTATTCCGAATACGAAATTCCAATTTCGAAAAGTCAATAACATAGAGTTGTATTCCGAATTGTAAATGGCCGCTAATATCGGTTCGGCGCCTTTTTCAATGACGGGGTGCTAAATAGCCAGTATGGTGCAGAGTTAATGATACACTAATGTTTATTGTATTAGGGCCGGCTTAAAGGAATATTACAATGAGAATGGTGATCACGCTGAGCGCATGTTTGGGGCGGGGCAGCGATTGTTAGGAGCGCCATTGTTAGTTTTTCGAAGCTAAAGATTTCGTAATCACCCTGATTTTTTGTATCGTGACTTTAGCATTACAATTGGCTGCGTCTACTTTACTGAGAACAATTTTTGTATTAACTTTCGCGCAGCTCGATTTAGAGGCTTCCAATTTGAGAACGCTACAGTAATTAATAATTGTTTCGTCAATCACATAATTAGCCCGTAACGAATTCACGGATTGAAGGAAACGATTATGCAAATATCAATAAACTGAACCTAGATCGGCCGAGATTTCTTTTTTTTTTTGCTTAAATGGGTGGACGAGCTCACAGCCCTCCTGGTGTTAAGTGGTTACTGGAGCCCATAGACATCTACAACGTAAATGCGCCACCCACCTTGAGAGGTAAGTTCTAAGATCTCAGTATAGTTACAACGGCTGCCCTAACCTTTAGACTGAAACGCATTCCTGCTTCACGGCGGAAATAGGCAGGGCGGTAGTACCTATCCGCGCGGACTCACAAGAGGTCCTACCACCAGTGAAATCCGAATTAGATAGTCCATTAAAATACTATTGCGATTGAGTTTTTATTGATCGCAAAAACCAGACTTACCAACAGCGAATAATTGAGAAAAGGGAGCACGTGCAAATAAATTAAGAGTCGGTACTAAAAAAAATAATACGCCAACAATTGAAAGATAATTAAAAACGGATTACACAAAAACAGATTAATAAGCCAACGGGTCGTCAGCACTATTCGATACTAGTAGAACTTTTTCGTTGTATTCGTAATAAAAAATCGACAAACTTGTACTAACTAGTAAATCGTATTTTTTTTTTTATAAATTAAATGCATCTCTGTTCGTTTTTATATTAACTTTTTCATGAGTAATAGAAGTTCTAGTTATTTATTTAGAATATTTATTTGGGGTAATAAAATAATTGTAATTATTATATTTCTATAATAGGACCATATATGTTTATTTTTTATTTTTTATTGTTTAGATGGGTAGACTTGTTCATGGCCCAGCTGGTATTAACTGGTTACCGGAGCCCATAGACATCAACAAAGTAAATGCCGCCACCCACTTCGACACATGATTTCTAAGTGTCAGTCTCCATGAAATAAATAGGCAGGTACCTACCCGTACGGGCTCACAACACACACTACCACCTGTAACTACGTCAATTAAAATTTTGACGGGTTTGATTTACATTACACGATGTTTTTCCTTCACCGTGGAACTCGTTCGTGAACATTTGCTTACTACGAACTTCTACAGGATTCGAACACCGGCACCGTCGCATCGCTCGATACGAACGCACCGGGCCGTCTTATCCTTTAGGCCTTTTTATTCCCTACCTATTCTAACAACCTCGAGGGGTTTTCTAGACACATTGAATTAGTAGGTGAGCTCACGGGGCTCAAACCTGACGACGTTAACCGCTAACCCTAGCAAGAGCTGTGCTTGCCGAATTTACCACCGGATCGGAAACGCGACTCACTGAGACGATCCGGCGAGAGCCTCAGTGGGTTGTGTCTGTTGGTTAATTTACTCGCCGAGCCCTTCATCGCAAGCGACGGGTCTAACGACGACTTCAATGTGATTAATTTATTCATCGATCTTGTCCAGCAATGAAAGGTCGGGACGGCATTGGCGGAAGCGGCAGCTGCGCTCCTAACGACGTGTTCTGCTCGGTTCCCGGCCGGCTGTCTCTCCTGTCCTCGACCAGCAAGTACAAAGTCACCGTGGCGGAGGTGCAAAGGAGACTATCGCCACCGGAGTGCTTGAACGCTTCGCTACTCGGAGGGGTGTTAAGGAGGTAAGAGAGTTTCATTGTTTGTGTAGCCTTATTCGCATCTGACGGGGCAACACGAAGCCGCCTTCGCCCGAAACATGTATTGTCGGATCCCTGGATCTACTCTCGATGTTTTTAGGCCCCTCGAACACCGCAAGAGTTCGACGAGCGAACTAGACATAGAGCTATAGACACAGCCCACTGAGTTTCTCGCCGGATCTTCTTAATGGGTCGCGATTCCGATCTGGTGGTAGATTCTGCGAAGCACTGCTCTTGTTAGGGCTAGTGTTAGCAAATTCTCTCAGGTTGAGCCCCTGAGCTCACCTACCCGTCCGGACGTAGCTAGAATAGCCCCGTAGGCTACCAGCGAATAGGTAGGGGAAAAAAAAAGTATATGTAGTCGCAAACGAAATCGACGCTCTTGGACTTGGACTTGAAGTCAAAGTCCTTACCCGGAGTTATCGTTCAAACCGAAATGATTAGGCCATAGTAGGTAGCGCCTAGCTATGTATTCTCAAGCTGTACCATACCGCATCGAATATATCCAAAACGGTATCAAACACACCCTACTTAATTGCAACATTTCCATCATAGTAACAAATGGCATAGACAAAAAAACTTCACTTCATAATTTAATAATTTAATATTTAGATTAGCAACTTTTTTAAAGCTTTCGTTGAAAAGCGAGCTTATGGCCTATCAGATGGCAACTTAGCAATGCAGTAGCGTCAATTTCTGTTTGTTTAAAGCAATTGAAACTTTTAAGTTTGATTTTCGCATATTGTCGCCGAGTCCTAGTGAACACTTAACAGCGGATAAATCTTTAACTCGTCAGCGTCAACAGCAAAAACAACCAACATTCATTTAATTTATAAATAACGAAACATTTTGAAGTCGTCGTGGCCTACAGGACGTCCGGTGCATTCGTATCTAGCGATGCACCGGTGTTCGAATCCCGCAGGCGAGTACCAGTTTTTCTAATGAAATACATACTTAACAAATGTTCACGATTGACTTCCACGGTGAAGGAATAATATCGTGTAATAAAAATCAAACCCACAAAATTAAAATTTGCGTAATTACTGGTGGTAGGACCTCCAGTGAGTACGCACGGGTAGGTACCACCACCCCACCTCTTTCTGCCGTGAAGCAGTAATGCGTTTCGGTTTGAAGGGTGGAGCAGCCGTTGTAACTATACTAAGACCTTAGAACTTATATCTCAAAATGGGTGGCGCATTTACTTTGTAGATGTCTATGGGCTCCAGTAACCACGTAACACCAGGTGGGTTGTGAGCTCGTTCACCCATCTAAGCAATAAAAAAAAATCATTTTTTTTCTGGGCATTTTACCTATAGTCCAAACACTAGACAGAGTCTGCTGCATGTTTATTCTAACGACTCTCGACTTCATTTGGCGCAATTGTTCATTAGGTTTATTTGTATTAAATACTCCTTGACTATATTTTGATTATGGCAATCAATTTAAATAGCCAATCGCGAATGTATTTTTAATCGGTGGTACTGTTAGCAAAGTTGCCTATTTATTTATCACTAGTGGCCGCCCAGTAGTCGAAGTTCGACTATAATTGAGGCCTATAAAATTAAAGGCAGCTAAACTGAAATACTGAAAATGAAATACGTACTCAACAAATGTTCATGGTTGACTTCCACGGTGAAAGAATAACATTGTAATAAAAATGAAACCCGCAAAATTATAATTTGTGTAATTACTGGTGGTAGGACCTCTTGTGAATCCGCGCGGGTGGGTACCACCACCCTGCCTATTTCTGCCGTGAAGCAGTAATGCATTTCGGTTTGAAGGGTGGGGCAGCCGTCGTTACTATACACCATCAGGTGGGCCGTATGCTCGTCTGTCGACGAGTCTGATATTCAGTAGTTCGAATACCAAATAATAATACCATTTCAGTTTTACATTGTCTAATTTAAACAAGTTTTATGGCAACACCGTTACGACGATAATAGCAGACAACAGCTGAATAAACTTTACATAAGCAATTTGCATATCCTATAATACAATTTACGAGATGTCGCCAACAAATAGTTATCGGTAAACGTGTTCATGCTTTTCATTAAAATTGTAATTTTCAAGCTAATAACTTTACTTTCATACAAAATTTTAAATGTAATAATTCAGAATTATTATTGTAATGTGTAGCTTTAAGTATGAACATTTTCAACATCATATAAATGTATAAATATTTATATAGAGTCTTAAAACGTTACATGCTGGATACGTACGACCAAGATATTGTATGTATGTCTTTTATTACCTAATCTTTGACATATTATGCATTGGTGACATCACCAACTTTTTGGCGGGAACATGAAGACAAAGCTTTTTCTAGGCAAAAGGGTTTCGTGATCCGTTCTTATTAAAAGTTAAACTCATCTTGATAAAAAAGTCCAAAGCCTCAATCTCCTGGGTGTAATAACTATAATAAATTTAAGTAAAGAAATCTAAAGAGTAAGTAAGCATCACTTCAACAAGAATCCAATTATCGAGAAATTAAAATTTAAACCGCACATTATGCCTAACACTTAACAGCAACCGTACCCATCAGAAAGTCATTTTGAGATTAAGCACACGTTTATATTTGAAATTAACGAATTACACAAAGAAATTTAAATTTATCCGTACGCCAATATCAAATACGCAAGCCATAAAGGAATTAATCATACGTTAAAAATACCATCTTAATTTAAAAAAAAAACATAATAATATTATTAAAACACGTACCTATGCGGTTTTTTCTTTCGTAAATAGTAAGCTGTCAAAATACGTAAGCCGCTCTAAGATGGCGGCCATTATTATAATTATTCACAAAGAAAACCCACGCTTCGCTACGGTCATTGAAGTTAACTATGCAGAATCGTATTGAATTGATTCTTAAAACAAAATTATTTGTCTGTTGATTTTCTTGACATTCAGCGGTGTTGTTAGCCTATAAATTAATTCGGTTCTCTATAACAGTGAAATTTTCTTTTTGAAGTTATACTTCTTTAGGCGCGTTATGAAAAATTGATGAGAGTGAAATTTTACGATGCGCGCGCACCGTGACACAAAATTAACAGAATGAAGTCGCCCACTAAATCGCTCATTACAATACGACCAACGTAACTTGGCGAGTCTGAATATAGCCGCAGGTGAACTTTCCGAACCGTACCGAGAATTACCGAATTTATACGATGTCAAGAAAAAGGATTTCCAATATGCGTGTTTAAGGATGTTGTTTAATCGATTTTTTTTCAAATTGATTAAAATTTAAATAAAAAAAAGAAATAAATTTAATAAAAATTAAGTATAACTTCTTACGCGCGTACATAAGTACACGCACCCTTTTTTTTACGACTAGCAACTTGCTCCGGTATTGCACGTGTGAATCAGAATGTATTTTTTCCCTAATATAAAAACGATTAGTATTTGCGTTAGAAAACACTAATGAACATCCTTTTTTTTAACGCAGGGGAATGCATTTACGTATGTCGAGGGGGGTAACGGATCGGGTTATTTAGGACTCCGGCGCCTCCTGAGAGGATGAAGGGGAGAATAGAAGGACTGAGGTCCTCCACCTCCCTCAATTTCTCACAGGAGACTATGCCTTGAAAGCGCGCGAGGCATTTGCTCCGCAGAACCGACTACCCACTTAACCCCATCGAGCTCCACCACACCGACTACACGAAACTTACGGTAACGCAGTGCGCACCGAAAGTCCCGCCTTCGCCGGTACCAGTACTAATGATCGGACGGGATCTCATCCCCGGGAAAATCCCGAAGGGCGTCGTCTCGGGAGACACACCGTGAGCGGCGCACAGGAGCCACCTTGCATCGCTTCACCACCGGACCAACAGTCGAGTGCCGGGCGCCCTCGTACCTGGCACTCGACGGTCCCTGCGGAGGCTGCGCGGCGGCTTCTCGCCCGCGCCATCCACCCCGCCTTCTACGCTGAGGAGCAAGTCACAGAACCCAGCCATGGCCTCCCACGAACTCCGGTCCTCTACCATACGGGCAACGACAGCCCGCAAAGAGAGGTCCTGCCTCAGCACCGCGACGATGTTTCGCCACGGGTGCTCCCACCGTGGGCACGCTTCTAGCGCTAATTAATTCTTCTTCAAATGACCGTCCTAACAATATATTAAATTATGAACATGATATGTAATTTGAATATCGTCCTTTGCGAGTCTTAGACGTAATCATATCTACTTTTACAGCTTAATCTCGCATTTACTATTTTAATTTTAAAATTTCCGACAATTCGAATGCTTTACAATGTTTTTTTTAGTATTCAAACTATATTAAATTGATACACTAGATCCCGTTTTATATTAAAAGCCTAAACAAGTTAACGTATTATGAATTATGAAATAGAAACATGTAGAAAATCTCAATCTAATAACGATTCCATGGCGGAATTTAATCCGAATACCGCAAAGAACCGGGAGGGTAGAATTGGAACGCGGCAACGCGAAATTATGCTTATCATAAATACAACTTCGACAACCTTCGCCTTAATTATTTACGAAGGAATTTAGTTCCGCGGGGAGGGTCTTTGAGGACTTTAAAATATTGAATATTGAATTTTTCTTAGTGTCTATTTGAAAAGATAAAGAGCGTCCCAGAATAATGAGAAGAGTCGGTAATGAATAACCGATATTAATTTTGTTCTCTGCAAATATGGATCTAAACTAACTTCTTCTTCTTCTTACTGGTGGTAGGACCTCTTGTGAGTCCGCACGGGTAGGTATCACCACCTTGCCTATTTCTGCCGTGAAGCAGTAATGCATTTTGGTTTGAAGGGTGAGGCAGCCGTTGTAACAATACTGAGACCTTACAATTCATATCTCACTTATGTTGTATATGGGCTCCGGTAACCAGTTAACACCAGGTGGACTGTGAGCTCGTCCATAAATCTAATTTCTCACTAGACCCGTTTCAAGACCTATAGCTATTTTCCCACTGAAACTCCTCCATTTTGCCCGGTCTTTGGCATCCTTCTGGGTGAGGTTATTCTCCTCCATATCCACCTTTACCACATCCAACTAGGGCTGAGCCTATCGTGGGATCTTAGACCTGGTACAAAGAACTTGAGACATCGAACCTGACAATTTCAATTTTTTTTATTCTCAAAGTTGTAAATAAAAGAGCTCTCACAGGAAGTCTGTTTGGCAGATGTGGAACATTGATATTACTTTGTATGTAGGTACAAATGCATAAAAGGATAGCTTACGATAGGTAGGAAATTTACTGTTAACGTCCTAATGGAAATACAGTTTCCTGCGTCTCATAGCCCTCCTTCAAACGATAGGTAGTAAGTACACTTAATATTTAACACTAATCATAACAACACTTACTGGTACCTATTTCTGTCATAGCGGGTAGATAACGGTATACGACAAGTATTACTCAAAATAAACAAAACAAAACAAAAAAAAGAGTATAATAACTGTAGATTAATTGGTAAGAAAAAGTCATGAAGTCAAATGTGGAAAAGCTACAAGATGATACGTACATTTTCAATGCAAAAGTTAAAAATGGGTCAATTGGCCCGTTATGGTATGTTTAGTGTTAAGACTTAAACCTTCCGACCGTGGGCTTACACCAATACCTAATAAATTTATCGTTACTAGAGGTCCCGCAGTAGTCGAAATTCGACTATAATTAATTGAAATTGTAAGTTTGTACACTATTATGATTGTATTTTATACTTCTATAATCACAAATTTCGCCAAGACTACACTATAAAAAAACAAACCATATTCTATTCTCAATTTGACAACAGACGTCAAGAACAAAAGTTTGACAATAAATAGTATGCATGCGTGTGTGCGTCAAATACATGGTATGTAGTGTGTGTAATGTTTTCTTTATTGATTTAATGTATCTTTTATGCATTATTTAAAAAAAATATTAGCATTGTGCGCTTCTTCTCTATATTCTCTATAAGTGTGGAAAATTTCANATAAATAGTATGCATGCGTGTGTGCGTCAAATACATGGTATGTAGTGTGTGTAATGTTTTCTTTATTGATTTAATGTATCTTTTATGCATTATTTAAAAAAAATATTAGCATTGTGCGCTTCTTCTCTATATTCTCTATAAGTGTGGAAAATTTCATACTCCTCCGTCCGCGCAATTTTCGTAAAAAGGGATACAAAGTTTTTGCTTCAAGTATTAATATATAGATTATCGTACTTATAGTTTCGATTAAACGCAAATAATATTCAACTGGTTGAACGTGATTTGAATCGATGAAAAATTCCATAATCTCATTCCGGATTCAACTTTTCAAACGGTCAATAGTCAAGACACCCACTGACTTCCGTCTAAAATCAATCAAATTACGAAACAATTACGGTATACCGAATACACTCTCATTTGTTCATAGATAAAGTTTTTTTTTTTTATTATCTTTATATTGTGCTAACGGAATTTAGAAACCTATAAACTTGATTCTCGTTGAGTTTGATGTATAGAGTATTAAAAAAGGTACTATTAAGAAAAATCCTTTTTTGATGCGTATGTATATATTTATTTTTGTTTCAATTCCTGAGATTATTTAAATATTTTCTTGGGTTTTCGCAAGTTATTCACATAATTAGAACTACTTTTCACAAATATTTTGATATATTATATATTAACTACTATTAATTACACAGTATACTAATAATATTAATAACAAACATATTAACCATGATAAAACTATGATATTAGAATCAAATTTATTCCTAAATATTAAGTAGATAAGGCATACTTTTAATATTGCTAATCGATAAAGAATGCTCGAATGCATTCTATGCGTCAATCACTACGATTTTGACGGTAATCGATACGTTATCTGTAGCTCCATCTCGCGGTCGGTAGCAGTACTTGACATGCGACCTGTCACATTTATCTTTTTATTTTATTTACTTAACTACGTGTCTATGAAAAAAGGTTGCTACCTACTTGTCTTGCTTAAAGGTCAATGACGCGGAATTCTTGAAGAACACAAATAAACGGTCATAAATTTTGTTCATAAAATGTGCGGTTTGGGTATTTTTGTAAATTGCATTCAAATTTTACGCATTCATTTTTTAATCCTCATGTAGACTAAGGAATTAAAGAGTACAGAACCTAAAAACAAATACACAGTATCGATCACAACTCCGAACATAAATATGAAAATTGATATTTAAACGTTGTTCTGTCGTAAAACTATCTCAATTAGTAATACATTTTTTGTAGTAACTTAAGCAGCAGTTAAGTATGTATTTCAATAGAAAAATTGGTACCCGCCTACGGGATTCGAATACCGTTGCATTGCGTTGCTTGATACGACTGCACCGTATGTACGTCTTATGATTTAAGCCACGACGACTTTACTTCATTTGTTTCTTTCTTTTCAGAGCGAAAAGCAAAAATGGCGGGAGATTACTTCGGGAGAAATTGGAGAAAATCGGCCTGAACTTACCGGCGGGGAGACGGAAAGCCGCTAATGTTACGTTATTAACCTCTTTAGTTGAAGGTACGGACTTTGTAAAAATCCCTTTAAAAAAAAATCTCCAAGTAAACAGATAATAATAATATAATAACTAATAAAATAATAACTAATAAACTCTCTCTCTCTAATAAACTTCATTATCTATCACTCTGTTTTATTTTATCTATAACTATTAACTTACAATACAATTTTGAAGTATGATTAAATAAAAACTAAAAAATACCTAATTGTAGGTAGTCAGTAATTTTCTACAATGATATTTTAAAAACACGACTTTTAATTAAATACTTATTTGATTTTACCATTTGTCTGTGTCCTAATGAGGTACACTACTGTCTATTAAATTTACTGAAAACCTGATTTTATATAATATTCTTGGTCGGTCTTTTTGTTCGTTTGTGTATTACACGTAAATCACTAACGATTCCAATAAAAACATTGCGGTTCAAAAATTTTAGGTTACCTTAAAAACTTTGGTGCATTTAGTATAGTAGAATATAGCGGTGGAATTCTATTCGGGTTAAGGGACATTTCGCTTAATAAGCGACATTTCGCTTTGTAATTAAAGATGCGTTTTATTTCGTATTAGCAACAACAGTGTGAAGTTGCAAAAATGTTACTTAAACCAAATACCTAATACCCCTCGATGTATCTCGGTTAATGAATGGAGCTAAAGGTAGATGATATTCGTATCGAGAATACTCCACACGGGACCAATATACGATTGCCATATGATATTCAATCGGTGCGTCTTAACAAAAATCGCTGCGAGTCAACCCAACTTAAATTTTTATATTACTTAGATGAGTGGACGAGCTCATAGCCCACCTGGTGTTAAATGGTTACTGGAGCCCATAGACATCTACAACGTAAATGCCGCCACCCACCCTGAGTACAAGTCCTAAGCTCTCAGTATAGTTACAACGGCTGCCCCACCCTTCAAACTGCTTCACGGAGGAAATAGGCAGTGTGGTGGTACCGCGCGGACTCACAAGAGGTCCTACCACCAGTAAGATTAATACATGGCATTCTGAACGAACAGCCGAAGCGGTACACCTGGCCAGAGACTTCGGTTACGTATGCGAGACGGAGTTCCCGGCGCGAGCCCTAGCCGAGTACCTCGCGAGACAGTACGCGGAACATGACGCCAGACGACGCCGAGACCTGCTGCAGGCCACTAAACAGGCATGTTTTAAAAAAAAAACTTATCGTTGTTGTCAAACCAAACTTTTTACTTTTTGACCTTTTCGTATAGTTCACAGCCCTATCTACCGTATAAAAAAAACTGTTATGTGTGTGTCTATAGCTTTAATATTTATCTATTGATATTAGCTTTCATTTGATATTAGTTCTTAAAAATTCACTTTCATATAAAATTTTATACGTTACTCGTTAATTCAAAATAGAGTTTTTGCACATAGCAGATTTTGATTTGACAGCGACGTTATTTTTAATATTCAGCTATCCGTCATGGAATCTGTCAGTGTCACATGATAGTATCAAAAAAATTTGGACTTTTTGGCGGGAACGCGAGGAACGATGTTATGTGAATTGTTTTATTTTGTTGAGTTAGTCTTTCTTTAGGTTTAAATGTGTAATAGCGGTGGTTTTTTAACTGTTTAGTACCTGTGAAAGTGCACAAATGTGGGAAAATGAAACTGTAGGAATATACGACAAAGAGAAGATCTTCCACCGAGCGGGTGATATTGCTCGGTAGACCGACGGTCCGAATGTTGTTGTTCGGAACTTGTATATATGCGCTTTATCTTGAAAATGTCGTAAGCGAGATTCAGGGATCTGTCAATTATCTTGCGTTGTATGATGGCTACCCGCCACAAAACAAAGCCGCTGGACGTAGTTTATCGGGATCTACTAAAAAGTCCACTGAAGTCTTAGTAAATAAACAAAATTTTACAGAGATTATATTTCACTCTACATCATCTCATTTAATTTAATTTCATGCCAGTTGATCAATGTTTCAAATTATTCAACTTCATTTCATTTCGCTCCATATCATTTTTCATTAAAAAAAGAATATTAAAAAAATTTAGCTGTATGGTATGATGCCGTTGCCTTTCCAGTTGGAAAAATATAATGTCAACAATTTTTTTTTAATCCAGGTAACGAAAGAACTTATGGATCTGCTGAACCAGGATCGGTCCCCGTTGTGCAACACCAGACCCCCACATTTACTGGAGCCGGCCATACAGCGACACCTCACACATTTCTCACTCATATCACATGGGTTCGGAGGGCCGGCTATAGTGGCCGCGTTAACAGCAATACAGGTAAATATCAAAGGTCTCGTAAAAAAAAACTGAACTTTCTCACGGAGGCTGTTAGTTGTAAAGCTATCTATTTGTTTTAATAGCTTAGATGTTTTCGCCAGGTACCCATACATAGCTTAGCAATGCAGCCGGTCACAGTCACGTCAATTTGACTGCAAAAATACACTAACACGGGATGGACTGTACTGACTGACTGACTTATAAGCAACTGTTATTTAAAAAAAAACAATACTTATAGACAAATTGAAGCGTCAGTTTTGATGCAAAATAAAATCCGGACAAGTCTTTATTTTCGATATTGCATACTGCAGTTATATTCATTACGCTTGAAGTCAATGCTTCATACCCGATCCTGTGGACCGAATGATAAACAGTCGACGTCGCCCTAAACACGTCATTACGGATCCTCCCGATCCATTAACGGTGCTTTTAGGTACCTCAAGCACCAGTCACTGTCCTCGCCAAGCCCGTCGCTTGCGACGAAGGGCTCGACGAGTAAATTAACACATAGACACAGCCCACTCAGTTTCTCGCAGGATCTTCTCTATGGGTCGCGTTTTCGATCCCGTGGTAGATTCTGCGAAGCACTGCTCTTGCTAGGGCCAGTGTTAGCAACGTTCCCGGTTTGAGCCCCGTGAGCTCACCTACACACCAAGGAGAAGCTGAAATAGCCTCATAAGGCTATCAGCATAGGTAGGGAAAAAAAAACAATGCTTGTGAAGGATTTTTGATTTTCCAATTCAATTTTCTTCCAGAACTTTCTCAACGAATCGCTCAAGCATCTAGACAAATTGTATCCACAAAGCGGTATGGTCTCGTCTTCGATGGACAAAACAAAAATGGATCCCGACATCAAGAAGTAACAAATAATACGCGACGGCGGCGACGTCCGCTATCGTCATGTTACCGGTGAACGAAAACGGTGACGCGGGTCCGTGCAGCACGCAGGAACGAAGCAACGAAAACACGAGTTTCGATTTTTGAACGTCAATCGAGAATGTTCTCGGTGTGCCATTTTATATGATACAGCCAAAACTAAATCAACAATCACTGAGATTGTGTTCGTAATAAAAAAAGAATGACTCATAAATAAAACCGAAATAATTATATTAAAATTATCGAAAATGTTCATTAATTTCATATAAAGGTTGATTGCACGATTATTTTTTTTCCGTCTCTATTGAAAGAGTACAAATAAGAGAATATTATTAAAAAAAATAGCGTTTTTTACGAAATACACGCGACGATCGTGCGATCCGCATACAAATAAAGTGCAATTATAATACTCATGATTGTGAGAAAAATCTGTAAATATAATTATAGTAATTAAAAACGTCTAGTATTAATTTAAGCATTTACTATAGAATTTTATTATGCCCGTTGGTTAAGTGATTTCTTAGGTGAAAATCAAGGAACAAACTGTTGTCTCGATAACTCCGTAGGTGCTTCGGAGATTATGAGAAAAATGGCGAGAAAAAAATGAATTTGAAATAAGAATAAAGAAATTACAGAAACGTTTACGTATCTCTTAAGAGCGTAAATAAGCAAAGTTTATGCTTTCCTAATGGTTAAGAAGAAAAACGGGATGCATTTAGTGTTAACAACTAAAAGTATTACCGTATTTTCTCCAGGCGAAATGACAATAAAGCAATAATTTTATTAATTATAAACACCGGCCTAATTATAGACGATCTGGGCAAAAAATGCATTGACTTTGAAACTTCACGATGCAGCTACGGAGTTAAATATTTATTAGGGTAAAACGACCGTAATAAAAACATATCAAACAAATGTAAATACATACAGTAACAATTTATAGTTTTTCACAAGTTTTCAATACAAAAAGATTTTTAGATCAGCTTCTATTTGATTAAATTTTCAGTAAAAAAATTCAGTTTATTTTGTATAAATAAACAGGCGAAGGAGTTTAGTCGCTGACTATTCTCGTTACACTTTTACTGATGGAACCTCTTTTAATTTGTTTTTGTAATTTAGGCGTTAGTTTGCTAGTGATTCAATGTGAAAGTGTGCCAATTAGTTCGTAAATATGAAAATGTCTCTCTTTCTGAAGGTTTTTTAATAATTTATTTATTGTGGCTTGTAAATAACTCGATCGAAATGCTACATCCTTGCCTGTGTTTATTCTTTTCTATTATAATATTGTAAATTAAGGCACGTTTACTCCTATATTTTAATGTTTGTTGGACTTCTATATTTTAATTGTAATTTTAACATTCAAGCAACACAATGCTATCACAAGATTTGCATTATTAAAATGTTGACTGATTAAACTTTGTGACGTGAAAAATTTTAACTGTATAACTCACTATGTAATCAATTTGTTGTTCATCGAACTAATTTTAAGTTGGTAAATCGCCTAAATCCTTTTCCTTCTCCATTACATACTCAATATTAGATAGACCCTATCCTAAAATCATTGGATTGAAATCATTTGACAAGTATTTTTATTTACATATTTTTATCATTATTACAAGATTGTGGACAATAAATGTGAAAAATGCTGTATTAGGATTCAAAATTGTCATTTATTTTAAATTAAATACATATTTTCGTTTATAATAATTTAATGATCATCTTTTCGAGGAGTAAATGGTGTCAACATACTTTGATATTTTATTTTACCTAAACTTTTTTGTTATATGTACCTTTAAGAAACTCTTATCCGTGTTTCATCATCGTTTACAGCTAGGCAGAAAGGTGTCGCACGGCTCGACACAACGACAGGTCCAGGTGCTGGGTTCCCACGACCTTCCACAGTTCGTCGGTTTACAATTATTCGTCCCTTATAAGGGTTATTTTTTATCCAGCGGCTATAAACTAACAATGCCACTTCTCCTCTATCACTGCCACTTCAACCTGGTAATCCCTCAGGATATACCTGTTCATCTAGGAATCTCTTTGGTCCTGACTTGAGCTCCCAGCGTAGTCCTTTCCATTACTCTTTGGGTATTATTGAACCTTTTGATAAGGTTCATTGTGGGCGACCACGTTCAAATGCGGGAGTTTTAAGTGATATACATGAGTGAGCGCATGCTAAGTAGGAACCCATCTTATTATGAATGCTGCCGCCTACCATGAGACATGAGGTCTAAGTCTCAGCTGTAAAGTATAAAGGCTGTGCGTTCCGCTCCGTGGCAGAAAGAGAAATAACCAGACTATCAACCTGTACAGATTAACGAAACACTTTATAAAGTGTGTAGGTAAGCAAATTTTAATTTTGGCTGGTTTCATTCGATGTTATTCCGTCATCTTGGAAATCCGTTGTTAATTTACATTTTACATGCTTACCTACGGGATTTAAGGAACGGCTATGAACTTATCAAAGGGCCTAGGTATTTAATTTTTTTTAAATGGTAGATGTTTGCTTGATTTGAACACTGGCACAGTCGCATCGCTCAATACAAATACGGGCGTCATAAGCTTAGGACATGATTAGAAACACATACCGATCAAGGGATTTCGTTTTGAAACACTGCGATGTTTGGAATGAGATTCTGAAGAACTCCCCGATCACCACCCATCGAAATAAGGTCCGACGATTGACTTTTTTCTCAAAGTTGGACCAAACTAGCAGGACAGCTTGCCCCAATGATCAGTATTGCAGATAAATTTCTGCAACGGGTCTAAGAGGAGCTCAGGCAAACGGATAGAAAAATTTTTTTTTAGATAGAAATAATACGATACATTTGATACTTCACTTAGAGTGATACAAATTAATCATGATGTAATATTTAATTTTAAGCCAGACGATATTGTGATCCTAAAAACCGTTTATGGGATATTTATCTTTATTGCTATTAAAGCAAATAGGTATGCTGAATAACTTTTCAACCTTCTTTATTAGGTGCGAGGTGTGAAATTATGCGATTATTTTGTATATTTAGTGCTATTGTTATGCGTGATTAGCGCGATTAGCGAAGTTGTGTGAATTGTTTTATTTTGTTAATTCCGTTGTTACTTCAGACTTCTGTTAAGCATCTATGACACTGTATAAATGTGCGAAATAAAACAGTCGCTGGACTTGGCTTTTTTTTAATTTATTGCTTAGACGGGTGGACGAGCTCACAGCCCACCTCGTGTTAAGTGGTTACTGGAGCTCATAGACATCTACAACGTAAATGCGCCACTTACCTTGAGATATAAGTTGTAAGGTCTCAAGTATAGTTACAACGGCTGCCCTACCCTTCAAACCGAAACGCATTACTGCTTCACGGCAGATATAGGCAGGGTGGTGGTACCTACCCGCGCGAACTCACAAGAGCTCCTACCCCCAGTAATTACGCAAAATATAATTTTGCGGGTTTGATTTTTATTACACGATGTTATTCCTTCACCATGGAAGTCAATCGTGAACATTTGCTGAGTACGTATTTCATTAGAAAAATTGGTACCCGCCTGCGGGATTCGAACACCGGTGCATCGCTTCAATACGAATGCACCGGACGTCTTATCTTTTAGGCCACGACGACGGCTTCTCTGGTTCTTCCAAAAAATCCACTATTGTCTCTGTGAATAACTGCCATTTTACTGAGACTTTATTTCATCCCATCTCATTTAATTTCATCAAATTTTATCCCAATTGATTAGTCTCAAATCTATCAACTTCATCTCAATTCATTCATATTAATATAAACTCCAAATTATTATTATTTTTCAAGACAGAATTTATAAAAGACTATTATACTGTATGGTGTGATACCTTCGCCTTTCTGTTGAAAAATAGAACTATAGCATAAAATTCAAAACCTTGTTGGACTTTTGGCGGGAACGCGAGGAGCGAAGCTGTGTGAATTGTTTTATTTTGTCTATATTGGTTTATTAACTGTTTGTTGTATCTGTGAAAGTGCACAAATGTGGGAAAATCAAACAAAGCCGCTGAACTTAACTTCTCGGTATCCTCCAAAAAGGCCACTGAAAAAGTCTCAGTAAATGACCACAATTTTATTGAGATTATATTTCATCCCATATCATCTCATCTCATTTCATTTCATGCCATGTTTCATATTAATCAAATTCATTTCATTTTTCTTCATATTCCTTTATATCCCCTTTATATAAACATTTTTCCTTTATAATAAGATAAATTAAAATAAGGCATGACCTAAAGATCTTAGTTACCAGGTCATAAATTCCCTTTAAAAAAAGAGCTCTTGTCTAAATGTCGAAATGTCTAAGGTTGAAAGTTGAAAGTTTGAAACATGTTTGAAACTGTTGAAAGTTTGAAAGAAAATTGAAAAGCCACAAAGTACCTACATACCTAGTCAACGTTACATTTGTATTATTTAAATTCTAAATGAATTATCCTTATTTTGAGTTACTTGTGCCATAACAAAGAATGACATCTGACGATAACATTATGTCGAGACACAATTTCAAATGTGAAGAATCAATAAGTTCCTTAAACGTAAAATACAACCAATGTAATTCCATGTTAGTCTTTTGGAACAAAAATCAAATATTTATTTACGATAATTTAAAGTTTCCAAATCCAAATTACTCTAAATATATTTTACCGCAATATCATATACACGACTTGTTAGTCTACAACAATTACATCGTCTGTTTGGATATAAACGGAAGCGTCCACATAATATCTCTGAAATTCAAGAATACAAATGTATTAATCAGAAATATGTTTTCACCGTTAGAACAGAATATCATAGCAATATGTAATTTTACTCCTGAGACTATATTGTTTCTAAAACAAAATTCTGATAACTGTTTACTATCTATTCATAAAGTAAATTCTGAACTACAACCAGAGAAAAAAATACTTCTTTCTGTCTCTACAGAGAATTTTTGCACAAAAAACATTCAGACGAAATGTATTTTAAAGACATGCGGATTAAGCTTAAATAACTTCAATGAAATAAAAAGTTTATTTCATTCCAATGAAAACACATTATACAACAATCACAATTTACTATTGATAACGTTTGATAGAATGACAATATATGGAGCTGTTTTTAATAATCAAACTGAACAGATTTCACTACAAAAAATTTACTCGTGTCCATCGTTAATATGTAATATTGAAATAAACCAAAATGATTTACAGATAGTTGTTGCATTAAATATAGGCACTATCATAAAATTTTACCTGAACACCGAGGAGCATAATAAAATTCATTTGAACACTGCTATACATAAAATGACTGTAATGAAAGACACACTAATATATACAGATGGTTTAACAATGTGGAGAGCCAATTTAAACAATGATGGAAAGTTTAAAAGATATTTTGCAAGACAAGTTTACGATTTTGTAATAATTGGTGATCAGATTATATGTACATCTTTTATGAATATAATATACAGTTTCTCGGTTGAAGATTATAAACACAATCATCATTATGATGAAAGTCATATTCTGGCTGACATCATATTGAGTAATTCAGAATGTCTGAATCAGATTTTTGAGGAAATTGAAAACAATAGCAAGATTGCTAAGAAAATTAAAGAAGAGGAAACATACATAAGTTGCATAGCATTGGCCAACAGACTGGACATAATGAATGAAGTTTTCCAAACTAATATTAACGTATACACAAATTATGATGAAGTTCAAAAAGCACATTCCGACATGATTCTAACAGAGAAATTGAAAGAATATTTTGAAATAGACACAATATTACTCTCTGTAGAATTATCTACAACAACAGTGCACCATACAATAAAAAATATACTTACAAATTTAGTTGAAAATTTAAGAATCTATACCACTTTATCATTTGGCAATAAATTTTTGAAGACTGTTACTATAAAAGTGAGAGAGTATTTGAAGACGGTAAAGTATTTGATACCACTTAAGTCAAAATTAAACAGAGTTAATGTTAATATCAAATTGGTAGTGAAGTTACCAGGAGTCCATGACAAAAGAGATTGTGTTTATACAGTTTTGTATACAAAGAATGTTTTGTTAACTGCAGAACATTTTATAAAAATTCACAAAGATTCTAGAACAATATGTTTGAAGCAACCAAATAAAACATTGCAGAAATTAGTACAAGAATCATCTGAGCTTTTACATGGAAATCTTTTTAATATCCACACTGCTAATTTTATAGACAATCATTATTCTTTCTATGTAAAATTACCCAATGATTACAAAGAAATATTTAAAAACGAAACATATTGTAAAAATAAGGTACAAAAGGAAACATATGAATATTTAAGTAGTCAATATAATAGTGATGAGTTTTTAAAATCTAAGAGTAAATTAAATCTTGAAATTGGCGATTCCAAAATTGTTGTTGAAGTTGTAAATGATGGTTTCTCAGAACCTTTACTAAAAATTAGTGGAGGTAATATGAGTATAGGATATGATATAAGGAATTTTTTTGCTAAAATACTCTACGATGAGAACAGCTCTATAAAACATGAAGTGAATCATACTTTTTATACTACAGTTGAGGTAATTTAAGTTTTCATTAATTCACTATATACATATCGACGCTTGAAAGCCAAAAGTGACTGAGCGACAATGCGTGAACTTTACAGTAGACTAATTTAAAGTTGAAATACCTGAAAACAAAATTTATTTTAACGAATCTAGCTGTAGTAGAATCTAGCTAGTAGCTGTAGGATTAAAATGATTTTAATAGACCTAGAAATATTTTTTTTTTGCGCATCGAATATGGTTATTGCCTATCATTTATGTACAAATCAGTTATTGTCGCTTAGTCACGTTTGCCTTTCAAGCGTCGCCGCGTCGCCGCGTCGCCGCGTCGTTAGACTATACACAAAGTCGCTCTAAAAGTTAAGTAGTTTATTCTTGTTAATTACTCTACTCAAAAACACGTGAATACATATCTTGTCTCAATGGTCAGTGTACTTATTGCGAGTCCTTTAACGTTCTCGATAGCGTAAAAGTTAACTCAAATTTGTATGCAGTTGGAACAGCGCCCCTAGCGGCAAACGTTCCAACTCCTTATAAATTTGAGAAATAAACGAATAATATCTAAAACTCGTTAAATAAGATAAAAGTGCAAACCAGCTTTTATCACATATATTGTTTACCACATTACTATTTTAGTTTAGTTAATACTTAGTTGCAAACATATCTAATTGAAGTTCAATGTTTTTTTCAGAATTTACAGAAAACCATTAAAAATTACATCTTTGGTTCGTTTGAAGATTTCACGTTAGTGTTTGAGCAATTCGAAAGAAACATTATCGGAGGTCTACCATTCTGATTCCTAAATTGCTAATTAAAACGAACGAGCAAAGATTGTTTCGAAAACGAGTATTTGTTCACTTCGTCTTTTTGTTGTAAGATATTTGTTTCGAAGTTAATACTACGGAGGACATTAGAAAAAAGGTTCTGTCGTCGCCAAATAGATAAGTCCTGAAAACGTTTCGTCTGACGCAGATGTGGCTTTAGCTAGTCTATACTAGGCGCAAGTGTCAGGGGGCGCCGATCTCGGCACTTTTCAATGAACCCGTTACTTTATACTTATTCCATTTTGAGATCTTACTAGAGGACGCTAGGGTAATGATGGCACACGTGGGCGCTACGTTTGCCAGACTTGACCCTGCAGCTGCAGTATTATACAGACTGAGTAATTTCACTGGTCGATGTACCACTTGGGGTTTAACTTTCACTTTGTTCACTGTGGACGATATTCGTTGATCACGGCCTGCAGGGAGTCCTAGTAAACTGCCCTATTGAATATCTATTCGCCAACAAATTTGTGATTTTTGTAATTAATTGTAAAAATAAAACGAATAAATACAATTATAAATCTATTTATTTAAACCATCCTCCTGAGAAGATCGTTGATCTTGTCTTCGCGGTTACCAAAGTCTCCGCCGTCGACGTAATGAATGGTCTTCTTGCGCCAGCCACCAGTTGGATTGTTCAATTTGAAGGGCCACAGGAAATTACTCGCGTACTGAAGATAAGTCCAAATATTTTCAGATTAACTTTTTTATCAATTAAACAGTTTTCTAAGTGAACAGGTTAAATTCCAAATAAAAATATTTAGAACCAAATTTGGTTGTTAATTGCCAAACAAGTCTCAAAATTTCAAATATACCAATTTCATAATAAATTTACATATTAGCTTTTAATTTAAGCTAATTCAAATTGTATCCATGTCTACTGTATAAAATATAATTTTTATAAACTAAATCATCCCATAATTCTGACTAGGATAAAACAATTTTAGTTAAGCCTTTATAAAAAGTATGTTTTGACTTTTAAACTATATTTTACTAATTAATTACCTTGAACTTTTCTCCAACAGTGAAGATCTCATGGATGAGGTCCTCAACACAGATAATGTTGTGTTTGTGGAGCCTCTTCTCAACAATGCTGTTGGAAGTGATTGGTATACGTTGCCCACTCAGCTTGGCGAATCCACGTTTGTATACTAACTACAAAGACATGAGAAAAAATATTACATTACTGGTTATATGCATGTACCCGTGACTTTGTCCATGTGGATTTAATCCCTTAGTAATTCATTTTTAAATTAAATGCGCGATAAAGTGCTATTCACAAAACAAATAATACCAATGGCAGAGTGGTATTGTAAACATGCAGTTTCTTCAACATTTACAATAAAAGATAAAGATATTGCTTTTTTTTTTTTTAATTCAGTAGTCAATGACATCTCTACACCCATGGCATTGCTCTGACTAAGGTCCATAAGCGACAGTAGCCACTCACGATCTAGATGGGCTGCATGCTAATCTACTACTAAGGGTAAAAAAGAAAGATTAGGTCAAGAGCCTGCAAAATAAGATGGGGTGAAACTATCGACATGCTTTGTTTTCCTTCATATTTTAGTCAAGAAGAATAGAAGCTAAGATAGGATAATAAACGGACCAAATGTTTTCTTTTTTTGGTTGTACATTATCTTAATGCTATATTTAGCTGTTGGTGTAACATTATATTCAACATAGGAAGAAATCACTTTTTTTATTTTTTTTGCTTAGATGGATGGACGAGCTCACAGCCCACCTGGTGTTAAGTGGTTACTGGAGCCCATAGACATCTACAACGTAAATGCGCCATCCACCTCGAGATATAAGTTATAAGGTCTCTGTATAGTTACAACGGCTACCCCACCCTTCGAACCGAAACGCATTACTGCTTCACGGCGGAAATAGGCGGGGTGGTGGTACATACCCGTGCGGACTCCCAAGAGGTCCTACCACCAGTGATTACGCAAATTATAATTTTGCGGGTTTGGTTTTTATTACACGATGTTATTTCTTCACCGTGGAAGTCAATCGTGAACATTTGTTGAGTACGTATTTCATTAGAAAAATTGGTACCCGCCTGCGGGATTCGAACACCGGTGCATCGCTTCATACGAATGCACCGGACGTCTTATCCTTTAGGCCACGACGACTTCAAATTCAAATCACTAATTTAGTATAGCAATAAGAACTTTATCTCCCCCTTTGGATATTATGTGGTATGAAGAAGCGTTTTGGAGCAATACCACATTAATTAAATAAACTATTGTCAGCAATTTACTTACCTCACGGACACTCTTTAAGTTGGGGTATCCCCAAGCAATGTAAGGCTCGGCGATACGTAGCATATTCACAGTAGCCTTATTCAGACGTACGAACACACCATTGTTTATTTGGCGCAGTCTAAACAGTTGCAGAACTTTACGGACCTGTGTGAATTAAATCATTTATCATTATCATTTGTTGATTGAAAATTAATATCATAAAAGTTTGAATATTTATTTTAATTACAAAATCATTTTAAGTTTGGTTGTAAATTAACCATTAGATATTTAAATGCATAATTTACTAGCTACTTAAAGTGATCGTGATCTCATTTCGAGTACTATTTGCAGATGATTTAATTTATTTTCAAATACAGGGTGAATGACTGCTGTAGCTCGTATTGAAGTATTTTGAGATCATGATAGGCATTTGTTTTTTTTAATAATGAATATTCATTGAATTATATTTAATTGAAAAAGACTGTTTGAGTGATAGGAAAGTTGTCAGAGCATGTTGCAAGACACCATAGGGTCACTCGGTTTAGTCTGGCGCCTACTGTAGCCAACTAGCTCAAGAAAGCCGTCGGTGTGCGAGGCGCACTATGTTTTTTTAATATATTAATTTTTTACTACACATTGCTACATATGGTCAGTGTATTTCAATGTTTTCTTCCAAAACTAAATCTATTATACCTTAGGTGAAACTTGGTTGATACCACGGATTCGGATGACAAATGCCAATTTGGCTTCCCCAGGAACGTAGTAGTTGCCGCGATTGCGTGCCTGTAAACAAGAACATTATTGTTTTTTTAGCTCAAAGCTCTGAACTATACTGTATTGTGGCAGGGCAAAGCGGTAGATAAGCAGCTTCAATTCTCTCTGCCTAGGCAGTAGCAGATTTAACTTACAAATTTTCATTAAGTTAAGCATGGTTAAAAGAAACCATGCGGTCTTAGAGCAATGTTAGAGCATAGATAACATGACAAACAAGTCTTCTTTCACTGGAAATTTTCTGTAGGTAAAGTCATTTCGATGTAAAACTCATTAAATAGCTACAATTTGAAAAAAAATCATACTTGTCTGGCTAGTCTGATTTCATCACGTTCCTTGATGCGGTATTCTTTGACGTACTGTTCAGCCCTCTTGAAGATTTCCCTCTTCTTCTTGATGGCAGAAGAACGCCTCTTTAGCGTAACCTTGTCAAAGAAAAATAATAATATAAATTGTGTATTATTATCATGTTTAGCTACTTTATTTTTCATTTTCAGATTAAAAATGAACAGCACCATAATTATATCAGATGAACTATGCCTTTTAAATTTTGTATCATCATTTGATTGAGCGATAATTTAGAATTTTTTTTTTTTTAACAAAGTCTCCACTTAACATCAGGGGTCCATGGCCCATGACTGATCAGATATTCATTGTTCTCTCAAATTATTCATTTTATTTAATATGAAACACATGATTTAACAGACTTTGTTGAAATAGAACAAAAACTCAAAAATGGTCCTATAGATATTTTTTATAGTTCCAGGTATGAAGTACCTGTAATCTCCTAGTGCGAAGAGCCTCTCTCCTCTTACGATGCTTGAGCACTGACTCTGGTACAGCAGGCAACTTCTTACTGTCTTCCTTCCCTTTGACGGGCTTCTTCTCGGCCGCAGCCTTCTTGTCGGTAGCCGCAGCCTTCTTTTCTGTAGTCGCAACCATCGTGCTGTAAAATATTTTTTTTATTCATAGGCACTGCTTACTTTGAACAAAAAAGACAAATCAGCTAAGAAATAGAGATAATCTGTTAAATATTTCACACTTTATAATAATCCCTTTTTCTTAAAATGTAATCGCAATCTTCTAAGTTTTTAGCTTTTTTATTGAAAGGTGGTATCATACTAAGGCATATTTCCAATCGCAAAAGTCAACAATGCATTTTTAAGAATCACACTACTCAATTTGAATCTCGTGAACAATCATACCTATTGAGTTTAATACTATGATTATCAGTTTAATTGAACGGAATCCAATGTATGCCCGATCACCACAGAATCGTGAAACTAATTTAGGTTAGGTCACAACAACAAAACAGCAAAGCATCCATTAACATTGTTGAACATTTAAAGAACATTGTGATTTCACTATATTAACTTATCCTAACGACTAAAACTAACTTTAAATTGAGAAATTTAAGAAATACAGAGAACAAGAAATATGCTATGAGCGAGGCGGCATGTCATGCTTCCAAGTCGGACAAATTTTCACTTTTTCACCAAAACTCACAAATGAATTTATCTTAGCACTCGTTCTAGTTTTTCTTAATGTTTTATAAATGATTAAACCTAATTTTAAAGATATTTTAGTAAATATTCAGTAACCTGCGAGGTAAAACTCCACGCGGCACGTGTGTCAAGTTATCAAAAAGACAGAGAAAATAGACTTCCGCTAGTCGCCATTTTGTGATATTTTTCAGTCTAGTAACACCACTAAGCCCTGGCACTTGTTGATTTAAGTGATCGGCTAAAGTCGTGTCTCCTCTACCGCTTGGAGGCACACATTATATGGCTTAGTTTTTGTACTGGAAATCCTAGACAGTAAAAACATAGACACCACACTATTAATTATTTCGACTGAAAAGTGAACTGTCTACGATAATGCAAAAAATAAACGAAATGGTATATGTATATATGATTTTGTATATATAGATATACTTTTTTTTGTATGTATTCGTAACCTAATATAAATTTCATTGCACCTACCACTATTTACTCTGCACTCCCTTTGGTTGACTGGTAGAGAATGCCTTAGGCATTAAGTCCGCCAATGTAAATTTTACATGAAGTGTAATAAATAAATAAATAAAAAAATAAAATGGTTGCACTCCGTTGAAACACTGGACACACCGCAAAGGAAGCTCAAATCTAAAAAAGTTATGGTGATTCGTCTGTCGTTACTTCGCAGCTGAATTCACTAAAATTGTTTGAGATCCAATGGAACGAATCAGTAGAAACATTAAATTGCTCGAAAGTCCTTATAGTCTGAAGGAAACTGTTCCATAGATAATTAATAACATTTAGGATCCGTTCTATGAAGGGTAGAAGTAAGGAGAACCGTCTTCGTGTGTGAAAAAGTGTCCGTTAAAATCTACCTCTACCCTCCTCCATAATCCGTTCGTATCCTTGTAAAAAAAACTGTCTCCGGTCATCGTTGTCATCGAACCCGTCGCTTGCGACGAAGCGCTCAGCGAGTAAATTAACCCACAGACACAGCACACTGAGTTTCTCGCCGGATCTTCTCAGTGGGTCGCGTTTCCGTCCCGGTGCCGTGGTGGTAGATTCTGCGAAGCACTACTTTTGCTAGGGTTAGTGTCAGCAACGTTATCAGGTTTGAGTCCCGTGAGCTCACCTACTAATTCGGTGAATCTAGACTAACCCCTCGAGGTTATTAGGATAAGTAGGAAAAAAGTAATTTAAAAAAATGGTGTAACGGTGCGCAATTTTGTATTTCTGCCCGGCTTCACTTGCATGAAAGTAGAAAAAATATATAAATCCTCGGAAATAGTATCTTTTTTCACAATGAAACCCTACGTCCTTTTTGTACATCTTATAACGTATATATGCAAAATGTTATTAATCTCTGTTTAATAAACATAGTAGATACTTAATGACAAACTCGCTTTCGTGAAAAAAACATTAAAATGGATTAATAGTTATTGACAAAACGTTACTATAGTTACGGAACAGCGAAGGCCGCCATTACAGTATATTGCATTTTTATTTTGAAGAAAGTACAATACTAAAACTTTAAATTAAGTATTCAGAAATTTTAAATAAGATTAATATTAATTAATATTTTTAATTTTTAATTCTTAATTTTAAGGAAACGCCATAAACCTAAGAGATAGATAGATAAAAATGGTAGAAAAAGATCAACAATTAAATGCACTCGATGCAGGCGAATTGGACCTATTCGTCGAAAGTATGGAACCATCTCGTATTGACAGTATTGGCAATCAAGCGTAAGTTAAACTAATAATTCATCGGTAACTGATATTATTCTCATTGACTAGGACCTCTTGTGAGTCCGCGCGGGTGGGTACCATCACCCTGCCTATTTCTACCGTGAAGCAGTAATGCGTTTCGGTTTGAAGGGTGGGGTAGCCGTTGTAACTATACTTGAGACCTTAGAACTTATATCTCATGATGGGTGGCGTATTTATGTTGTGAATGTATATGGGCTCCAGTAACCACTTAACACCAGGTGGGCTGTGAGCTCGTCCACCCATCGAAGCAATAAAAAAAAATCGTAGTAAATGCAATTTTTTTGTTTAGATGGGTAGATTGGCACATCAGACTCCAAAAATTAAACCAACACGCTGTTCTAGAAGCATCTTCAATGCGCGAGGAGCTTACTAAAGAAACTCTAATTTCTTGTGGAAAAGTAAGTTTTTTATTTATTGCTTAGGTGGGTAGGCGAGCTCACGGCCCTCTTGGTGTTGAGGGGTTACCGGCGCCCATAGACATCTATGACGTAAATGCCGCCACCTATCTCGAGACATGAGTTTTAAGTCTCCAATTTAACCGTACACTTTAAACACTGCTTATAATGACTTATAACACACTTTGAAATGCAAAGCCGCCGTCTTTCGAAGCATGCCTTGCCTTCGTCCATCATAACCACTAGCCCATAGACAAAACCCACTGAGTTTTCCCCGAATCTTCTCAGTAGGTCGTAATTCACATCCGGTGGTAGATGCTGCGAAGCACTGCTCTTGCTAGGGCCAGTGTTAGCAAATTTGCAAGCCTGAGGGCGTGAGCTTACCTACTCGCCCGTACTTGGCTGGCATAGCCCCTTAGGCTACCAGCGAATTGGCAGGGGAACACGCTTTTATCAGCTTGGTATGTATTAAATTCGTCTGTATGTAAGGGAATCTTTGAACGTCATTTCAACTTGAAATTTTGCAAACGCATCAAGGACCGATGACAATACAATAATTTTATTCAAAAAATAACTTCGCTCTAATATGCTGACCGGATAAAATCCGGATAAAAAAACGATACTAATTACTTTTTATGTATTATTGTATGGTTTTTAAACTACATAAATTATAGTTATTGAAATACCTACCAGATGACGCGAGTTAAAAATACAATTATTTCCAGCTGCCCGTATTGGTTTATGAAGCGATATGCATTCAAGTGTGGAAAATTAAAATTTATCCGCAAATTGTTAAACTGGAACCAGCACCAAATAATACCTTTGGCCTATATATGGTTGTGAGTATTCTTTAAAACTATTCATTGTGTATAAGTTATGAACAGAAAAATATTAATTATTTGAGATTGCAAACTAATATAATCTATTTTAAAATTGTTGTATGATAAAAAAAATATGTATCATTTAAGTTACAATAATGACAGAAGCGACAGACGATACAACCTTACCTCCATGAGTACATATTATTGCAGAGGCTCACTAAGGGATTCTAAAATTAAAAAAATTCCTATCTTAAATGGATTGACGAGCATAGTCGATGTTGACAGTTACCGTAGTCCTTAGACAACAAATCCATGGTGGATTCCTTAGACAACAAATCCACCATCACTACGCGATTTTCTTGCGTTTAAACGCTTTCATCCGAAAGCTGTTTGTTTTTGTTAAGCATCTTGTGCCAATCTTTTTGAAAAAAGGCTAAAAGCTCCGACTCCTTTAATCATCTACCAACTAAGGGGTAAGCTAAGATATATTCTGCTTTAAGAAATAATAAGGGTTTTCTTACACATTTAGTTGTACCACGAAGCAGCCGCGGTGGGACTGCTGGAAACTGTTTTGTTTCACGAGGACGGCGCGACCTGTATCTCCGAAATCGCCATTGATTTGCTCCAATACGCATTAGATCAGTTAACAGCACTTCTGGCTCTTATTAAGTATGATTAATCATTTTCATAATAAATATCTCCCCTCCACGGTGTTTCCCGAGCGCTATGACATGTCCTACTTCAAACGAGGCTTGTGGACTTAACGGTAGGCAGCAGCTTGGCTCTGCCCTTGGCATTGCTGAAGTCCATGGGCGACGGTAACCACTCGTCAAACACAGCACTCGCATTATTTATGATGGGGAAAATGCAAGTTTTATGATTTATTACGATGGATACTTGTTTTTAGACTATGCCGGTGATAGATTCGTCATAATATTATGTTACACTGCTTACATTTTGTACATTACGCTTAAAGGTGTTTTGTGCATTTCGGAAACTTAATACCATTTTGAAGTGAAAACTTCTTTAAAATCGTTGTGATTTCAAACCGGATGCAACGGAAAAAACGACAGGTAAGAGACACAAATACAAAAATGTGTAGGATGAAGCCAGCAAAGAATGAGACAGAAATATACATACTATTTAATACAGGGCCATCTGTGAGATTTTTTAATACTAACGTGTGTATGAAAGCTCTTGTAGTGAATTTTAATTTAGGATTATACGTGAAATTAAAATATCATTTCACAGAGGGCGCTACCTTACAATTATTTACTAATGACAAAATTTTACATATACTTAAGACGTTTAGGATAATTGTATTTTAATTTTGGAAGGTTTCACTTCTACCACGTGTGAATTGCACACATGTTTTTATTTATTGAGTACAAGCCTAAGCCGGGGCCTATAAACATCACAAAGTCTCGATAATCGCTGTCCTACCTACAATGTACCCTACCACGGGTAAAAGCCGGTTGGCTACCACTTGTCTAAATCTTATCTGCGTTTCTACAATTAATAACGCTTAATACGATATTTTAGACTATTCACCTTCATTAGTTTACACTACTTTTCAGCACTGGATATTTGAAACCGATTTCCGTTAATGATATTGAATGCGAATCTCCTATTGAGGAACTTGAGCGGCAAAAACGAGATCTTCAGTTCGATATCAGCATGAGGTGCATTTCTATTGTGCGGTGAGTAGATATTTTGTTAGTGGCTATATGATTTGTAATTGACGATTTAGGTTGAATACATAGTCCGCACTGTAGAGTTTACTTACGAACCATAACTGCGGTTTAGCTACCTGGTCTTATTCACTAGCATATGATAGCAGCAATTTTTATCCAATAATAATTATTCACCGTTCACATTGATTCTTTGGGTCGTAACTTTCATGATACGTCTTCTTATGAAGTCTCGAAACAGGTTGCTCATAAATTAATTTAATCATCTTTTCAGATACTTAGCAGAACATATGGAGGTGGCCGGTATAGGGGCCTCGATATCCACCAATATATACAAAACCCACGATGTGCCATCTTTGCTCTGTCACCTCATAACGCAGGAGCCTTGGAAGAGATCTAATGAACAGGGCGAAATGCAGATTTTTAATTGTAAGTTCTTTTAAATTATTTTTATTCTCGAGCGATTCTCGAATTTGAAACGACAACAAGCAAATATTCTCTTCGAGAATCCATAGGTGTAACGAAGGAATTTAGCGGACGCTCTCCCGCATTCCATAGATAATGTGTTTGGTACGGCTCAAGCTTAAGATACACTAAGTTTACGCGAGTCATAGACATAATTGAAACTACCTTTACAGTAGTCTGATGTTTTTTTTTTGCTTTATTTTATTTCTAAAGTTTCGAACATTTTGCAGTTTTCGTGGTACTGCGATAGACATAACAGGATGTTTTCGCTACGCAACTAATTAGTTTTCTTGTTATGGTATTTTCTGTTGAATATAAATAAACATGTGCGAAATGAAGATATGATAATAAAGAGAGAAGTTTGCGAATAACCGACATGATTACTTGTCACAAATAAACATTTACAGAATTGTATAAAATTAATCTATTTTGTTCGCAAGTTGGTCGCTGGTGCAAGCCCACAACTGAGGATTTAACTCAGCTTCATCGTAGCGAAGCACAACTCTGGCTGTGTCTGCGACAACTATTGTTAGAACCACGTCTTGCTCATCACTATAACATAGATGAAAGTCGTCGTAATACATTTTGTCAGGTGAGTGAGTGAACTAAATCTTTTATCCTCCGAGTTCGGCCCTGGATTTCATCTTCAACAAATGTTGCAAGAGCTAGGTGTAGGTATAGTGAAGAATTCGTGCAATACCTAAGTGTTTTCATTTTTAAGTTTTAATGATACTATGGGTGGCCAGCGTTAGCATTTCAAATATAAAATGAAATGTTCTCAAATTAGAGATCATAATTTATTATATATGTTTATGTTATAATTATACATGTATATTAAACATAAAAAAAATTGTTATTTAATTAAGGCGCGAAACCGTAATTTTTTTACCATTGTACAATTTAGGTACTCATTAAACTTTTAATTCCACAAAATTTTACCATGAGACATGAAATCGAAGTAACTTATATGCATTAGATTAACTATATTATACACTATAACCCCTGCTTTTATTAGTACTAACGACACTACTACTAGCTCTGATTAGTACTAACGACACCTTTGATGTGACGGAAAAAAAATTTTCATTGCTGATTTTTTTTTAGTAATTTATTTTTTATGAAACTATCGATTCATTTAGCTGTACTAACATGGTGGAGCGTAAATAATGCTAACAAAACGTTTTAAAAAATGTTTATTTTTTTTAAATCAGGATCAATTTATTTTCCGTTCCATCATCAAATGTGTCATTAGTACTATCTGTCTTCGTTTTCGGAAGCGGTGTCCTAACACCCAGTATAACATTCTCAATTAAACGTATATCGTTTATTTTCATGTTCTAATGGTCGGCAGCTACAAGCCAAGCTGACAGAGACGATGCTGGATCAAATTCCACCGCTCGGCGAACTGAAGACGTTCCTTTGCAGGCTCTCGGTGGGCGATTACTCCGGACTTCACAATCGGACCAATGGCGTTAAGAACCCAGGGTGCACTCTCATTGAAGTTGTTCCACAGGTACTTGTCGTGTATAAACTATCACATCTTTTTATTGCCTTAGATCGACGAACTCACGGATCTCACGTTGTTAAACAGTCACAAAAGTTTATAATTAACCCATAGACACAGCCCACTGAGTTTTTCGACAGTTTTTTGACAGATTTTCTCACTGGGTCGCGGCTCCGATCCGGTGGTAGATTCTGCGAAGCACTGCTCTTGCTAGGGCCAGTGTTAGCAATGTCTCCTGGTTTGAGCCCCGACAGCTCACCTACACGTTATGATTACGCAGGTTGTTACGCTGACATAGCCCCTTAAGGCTTAGGTAAAGCTTAGGTAGGAAAAAAAAATACTTATAAATAATGCGTAAAATTATGAAGTTTCATTGCTGTTGCTAGCCGTTAGCTTCCATTAGCAAACTTTCAGGCTGAGCCCTCTGAGCTCACTGACTAGCCATAGTGTAGCTGGAATAGCCCCTTAGGTGGAAAAAATGGCGTTTCCGTATTTTAAATCAATAATAGATATAAAATTAAAGCAATTGGATAGCACCAAGCGTGCGTATTTATGCTCTTGTTAGGTACCTATTCTCATGCAGCAAAGCTTTTTGTTTATTTGAAAAGGTAGTTAATTGTGGTATACTTAGTTTTTCGTCGAAAGTATTTATTTGCATCTGTGTCAACTCGTCCTTTTAGTCAATATTATTTTTAAATTTAATGAATCTTTGAACTACCACAAAGGCACCTGAATTACTTAAATCATTTCATGTATTAATTCAATTTGTAATGTTAAAATCCTAATATTTATTATTAAAGTGCAACCGGATTTCATAATTTTATAGATAAAGGATGCGTACGTGAAGCAGATACACAAACGAACTAAATCATTAGCGAAAACCCAACTCGAATACTTCCGCATGGACGGTTCGGATGATTCTAGAAACATGGCGAAGAAACTTCTAGATTCATACGCTAGTGACACGGCCCTCGCGCTCGACGGCGGGGGTGCTAAATGCGCTAAATGTGGAGAGAAGGCTTGCAAAAAATGTTCTAGGTGCAAGACAGAGTGGTATTGTGGAAGGTAGTAATATTTTTTATTATTAATCGATTACTCATATGGAAAATCGTATTGATTTATTTTCGATTTTAATGACGGTTTTTATTTGTGTTTATGCGGCCCCCCTTTAATACAAATAGTATATTACACCCGTTGGGAAGGACAGACAATAAGAATATAGATAGAAGATAATAAGAAAAGCCTAAGATCACACAAACGTGATCTGTTTACTTTTTTACTTTCCAAGGACTGTACTATTTTTTTGTCCGACAAAGGCGGAAAGCGGCAACTTTGTTTAGCGCAGCGGGACGAAAGTTGCCACTTTCCGCCAGGAGGGGAAAAAATACATTTACAAAATCTAGTTTGTATTTTCAGAGAATGTCAAGTGCAACAGTGGCCGAAGCACAAAGAACTTTGCGACCAATATGCGAAGCTGTGTCTTTAATGTTATTTAAATTAATAATAATTTATCACTAAATATTAATTCAATGTTGAAGGGGAATTCAATAAAATAGCTTGTATTTTTTTGGGATTTTTAATTTAACTTATATGGATTAGCATTAACACCTAAGGATTAGCTCGACGACTTGAGGTAGTCCTTGAGCACATCCAACGCTGGAGTTTCCTCGCCGAAATCCTGAAAACAATATTACATAACACTAAGGATACAGTTATTAAAATTCATTTGAAATGCAGTCGATAATTGAACTTCATTTAGCACTTAGTCGTTAATCGTCAATGATTAAAATTTACAAATAAACTTGTTTAATATGTTTGAGGGCCCACTGAGTTTCTCGTCGGATCTTCTCAGTGGGTCGCGTTTCCGATCCGGTGGTAGATTCTGCGAAGCTCTGCTCTTGCTGGGGCCAGTGTTAGCAACACTTCGATTTGAGCCCCGTGAGCTCACCTACACGTTAGGGTGAAGCTGAAATGTCCTCACAAGGCTATCAGCATAGGTAGAAAAAAAATGTTTGAGTGATAGGAAAGTTGTCAGAGCATATTGCACGACACCATAGGGTCACTCGGTTTAATCTGGCGCCTACTGTAGCCAACTAGCTCAAGAAAGCCGTCGGTGTGCGAGGCGCTTTTACTAGAGGCCTTTACTAGATCACACAATATTATTTGAAATCAAACTTAATAGTAAAACAATTGTGTGGACTTTTTATAAAACACAGAATTCAACAGTGTCAAGAGGTATGTATGTAATGCAATACAAAACAATTGGACGCTAAACTAATATGGTATCAATGAAAATACAACTTACTTTGATGACAACACAGGAGCAGCCGACAATCTTCCTTGCCTTGCCATCCTTGTCAATCTTGCAGAGACCAGCCCATTCTCCAAGCTTTTTGTTGTTGTCAACCTACAAATACGATAGTAATTAAATATGACAAAAGTTTCCAAGTTTATAGTTTGTCTGGTGCTTGAATAGAATTTGAGTTTTAAGTTTTCCACAATAGATTACTCGCATCAGCATATTATGATGTGGCTCACTATCATCAACCTTTATCTGCCCACTGCTGGACATAGGCCTTCCCAATGCCTTCCACATAATGCGGTCCTCCGCCTTCCGCATCCAACGGCTCATTATAAATATTGATTATTGCTTAAAAATTAAAGAATTCATTCAATATATAGTTGAATGATTGAAAGGAAAAATTATGATAGGCAGCACGAAAACCTTGCCAACGGTAGTTTTATGGCTTATACTGGGGATGCCCTCACTTCAGCTTTTAAATCAACTGCCAAAATTTCAAGTTAGTAGTAGTAGCTCTAATATCATAAATATCACATTGATGAATCACCCAGTAATAAATATGTTTGAGTGCTAGGAAAGTTGACTCCGCACAATGCAGGTCACCATAGGGGCACACATTTCACTCTGTGCTCCTTGTGTCACAGTCAACATTTGATTAACAGGACTCGTGTGGAGCACATTCATAATACACAATTCAACTTTAAATAGAAAAAAGAACCTTTATGTCAATCTCAAAGAAAAAAAAGGCTTTTTATTTCATGCAATTAATACATATTTTTTTTAATATTCATGTTTTTATTTTTAAGTACTATATGCATAAATTCTCTTAGGTAAAGGCCTCCTCCAAAGATTTCCATTTTGTTTTGTCTCTGGCGATATAAATCCTATCCAATAATGTCAATCCTAAATTTAGGTAAAAAATGACCACAATGATTCAACTATTACATTAAATTAATTTTAATATTTGTTTTCCCACTACAAAAGCTACACACAATGTATAGTAAAAATTTAAATAAGAGTTTGCCCATCATTGTGCTCGGAATCAAGGGACTGACTTTGTTGAAAGCCATAAAACTTTTACATAAATATATCAAAAGTATATTTGCTAGCTCATTTTCATTACAAAAATATACATAGCTAATTTAAATAGCAATAAAACAGTTACCTTGACCAGTGGAATCTGATGTTCGTTGCACAGAGCCTGAACAAGTTTCTTGTATGCGGCTTCATCACAGTTCTCAGCCAAAACACATAGTACTGCTTGCCTCCTGATAATTATAACATTTTTCATATTAATTAAATTTACATCTATCATAACAATGAGTTATATAATATAAAATTAGGATTGGATGGCTATTAATGATAATAATATATAGCTCAGTAACTCTTATCTCTGGACCTCTGAAATATGAAGCCCCTCCCAGTGTCCCTTTCGCCAGGTCCAGAGATAATGCAACCGGGTTGTACATCAGAACCAAACTGAAAAGCCAATATTCAGTATCAGTTTCAAAGCGCAACCTTTGCTTAAAGCTGTAGGAAATATTAAATTTGTGGAAAATAGAAAGTGACTCCAATTTTATTTTATTTTAGTAGTGATTTTAAGAATTTTGAAGGGTATTTTTATATTTTATCTGATAATATGCAGTTTTTTTTTCAAATAAAATACACTAATAACCAAACACTATATTATTTCACATTTTTAGCACTAGGGTTTTGATGTACATCAATCATGATACATTCAATCACATCGAACACAATAAGTGGATGTGTACGATTTTAGTTTTTACTTGCAAAGTTGGGTCAATGTGTTGGTATCCATTGGGTTATCAACTAAGAAACGAGAAAGAAAATTGCTGCCTTGCAATTTAATCTATAGCTTTTGTTAATATGTACCTCTTTTATGTTATGTTGTACAAAAAGAAGTTTCAAAAATAGAAATTAGTTTCCCATGGAGGAATAAGCAAGCATTGATCACATTATTATTTTATCATAATTAAAACGGCCCCAATAGATTGTGATTAATTAGAACCTAATAAAGTGTTGCACTCGTGGGAGGCCACAACCCCGATTGTAACAAGGAATGTGGTACTATGTGAGTGCATTGTTATTGGCAACAAAAGTGATCAGCTATAACTTGTGTTATAACTGATATTTCCACACAACACACTGCTAAAACAGAAGTGTGGCATGTGAATGTTTTGTAGGAGTAATGTTGCCAATTTGAACATTGAATTCTTCAATTTGTGAGTCACATGAAAACAAATAATGAAATTCAATTTTTATCACACAACCTTCATAACTAATTCCACAGCATTCAAAATTGTTAACTTTTACAAAGAACCATAGTAAAGTCCAAACATCCATGACTTAACTTTTAAAAATGATATTATTTTAAGAGAACAGATTTCATTATTGGTGTATGGATTGAACTTACTTGTCAAGAGCTTTAGCGGCTTCGTGAAGACCGTGCACAAGACCACCGTGGATTAAAGCTGTCTTTAGCACCTCTTGCAGTGCTACGTTCACGTCCATGTTGTTACCCGACAAGATGGGGTTGGTGGGGACCTCGCTGAAGTAAAAAGTTTAATATTAATAACAATCTTACACATTACAGTTTGCATTTTGAGATAGATAATTAAGTCCATATTACCATAAGTTAGGTTATTTTGGACCGCTTTATTCTTCTTAGAGACATAAAAAAATGATTGTTTATGTCTAGTACAGCGGCAACTTTTATTTGAAACAATAGGTATAATCTTCAAACCGAAATCAGATGATGTAGAGTAATATTTAGTTAATAGGGTAATTTTGCATTTTTTATGAGCTTTATATCAGATATTACGGCAGCTGCTACTAGGTTAATTTACAATACAACTTTTACTAAGTTTATAGTTCGAGATATAGGGACAAAAATTGAGGTTATGTTGACAAAATATAAACCTTAAATAAATCCTATATCTATATATTAAAGTATAATTGGAAGGTAAACATTAAGTTTTAAAAATATCATTAAACGAAAATTAATTGAATTTAGGATACAAATAATGCAAAACAAGTTTTGTGTACTCACACTTCAACATCAGCCATGGTTGTTGACTATTTGACTGTCTGAAATATGAAACAAAATGAATAGAACGATGCACGCACATATTATTTAACAAATCCGATTTTGAATACACTAAAAGATTTCATAAATTATTCGAGATTTGAGAAAATTCACCAAACAACGTTTGACAGTTACCTTGCGTACCGGAAAAAGACCATAGATTATCACTCATTTATTAATTTTTAACAAAAACACCAGTGTTGCTACTGGTGTCAATTTTAGTCTGAATTTGAAATGCGAAATGTACATAGCCTTAAAAAATAATTTACCTAAAAATTCCCAATATATATTTTTTAAACCTCTTATCTATTGTTGTGTAATTTGTGATATCAACTTATATTTGACGATTCACCAAAGTACCTAGACTTAAAACAAAAGAGCATCAAGGATAATGTCAGTTTTTGACTGTCCATTTTTTAAGATAAGTCTTGTTGTGTTTAAGTGTGTTTTGTATTAAACATAATATTATCATTAGCACACGCTAAATAAATAAACTACCTGTGTAAAATCTAGTCAGGAATGCAGTTCATGAATATCAATATGCTCCATTCGTAATGAATCGAAATGCAGATATTATTTTTACAGCAGAATATGTGAAAAATGTTCTTTATTTTGTTATTGTACGAAATGGGAAGATTTTGAGGGAAACTTCCGACGCTCATTATTTTTGTATAGACGATGAATTAGTGTATGAAAATTATTATTCTGACTTCGGACCTTTAAATTTGGGATGTGTTTACAAATATTGTAAGTTATTAAACGAGAAACTAAGACTGTGCTTAAAAAAGAAAGCTGTTGTACATTATACATCAGCTGAACCAAAAAAGAAGACGAACTCTGCTTTTTTGATAGGATGTTATGGTGTTTTGTATTTTGGTTTTTCACCACGAGATGCGTTGAAACCGCTTCTAACACATGGCCAAACTTACAGGTATATGCAACGAACGTCGCTGTCTAAAATTTTCATTTTTTTAAATTAAATTTATATTTTTTAAACTAAGAATAGTAAGTAGAAAGTAATAAATGTAATAAATTAATAAACTTATTAAAAAGTTATAAACGTAATACTTTGTAGTAATAATTTCGTCTGATTCATGAGTAACACGGATTGAACACGTATTAATTGAGAACACGTACAAACTACGAAGTTATTCGAAAAAGAGCTACCACCATTAACCAAGTTCCTTGCCTTAATAATATTTTATAACATTTAATAGAAACAATTTATAGAAACATTGTGGTAGTTTTCCAATTACAGCACAAGAGCGCATTATGCGGCATAATGCTCAACTAAGCTTCAACATAATTCGGCATTGTGCGTCACTGAGTCGCATTATGCTCTGTAATTGGAAAACTACCTGTATGTACTTAATGGTNACTAAGCTTCAACATAATTCGGCACTGTGCGTCACTGAGTCACATTATGCTCTGTAATTGGAAAACTACCTGTATGTACTTAATGGTAGATTTCCAATTAAAGAGCATTATTGGAAAACCAATTATTAGTTTTCCAATTACAGAGCATAATGCGACTCAGTGACGCACAATGCCGAATTATGCTGAAGCTTAGTTGAGCATTATGCCGCATAATGCGCTCTTGTGCTGTAATTGGAAAACTACCTTTAAGTTTTTTCTGTACGTTCTTTGTGTATCACAGCAATCACGAGTGGGTGACGGTATTGTTGTGATGTCTACGGTCTTTTCGGCCAACATGATATTAAGTTTATTTTTTATTCCCTGTAGACAATTTCAAGACGCAGCTCAGTTTGACTCGCCGTATACCATATCCTTGATGGATTGTATGCAAGCAATTAAGAAGGCGCGTGATTTAGGATTTTTCAATTTCCAAGATTTCGATTGCGGTGAATACGACAGACTAAATTCAATTCAAGGAGGTGACTTAAATTGGATCGTTCCAGGTACAGTATTATATTACGATTTATTGGCAAGCAGCGATTTAAAATTTCCTAAATTTAGTGCCCAGCGTGCTTAGCGGCAAACGTAGGGACGCTGTTTTAATTCCATACAAATTTGAGTTAACTTTTACGGGATTGAGGAGTAAAAAAACTCGCACAGAGCACAGTTTTTATATTTAGAATTTGCATGTTTTTTTTTTTTATCGAACGATATACACACACAATTTACACATCTAGGCTAATCCTAATAATGTCAACTCCTTATTAATGTCATGTCAATTGGAAATTACTTTCCAATGTAAGTTTAATCCGTACTCAGTTTAGCTTGAGCACGAAATTCATTGCGCATGACGTCACTTGGGGCCAAGACGAACTAAAAGACATCTACATTCACTTATGACATCATGTGTTTGTATTGGCGTAATGGGAACAACGGATAAATAATGTTAGAATACAATTTTTTTAAAGTATAAATAATTGATATTTCTTAGATAATTTTGTAATTGATGCCCGATTGGTCATTTTCAAGGTCAATGTAAAGTGGAGCAAAAACTTACCAGATTTAAATGATAATTTATATTATAAAATTTTAGGGTTAGAATAATAACGGACAATTATCTTACCTATCTTAAACCTAAAACTGAATTGATAAAAAATTGAGAATCTTCGATTTCATAATAGGCATCACAATATTTTTAGAACTTATTTGACATTCATTGTCATACCTAATTCTAAGCGGACTTATATTTTCTAGGAAAGTTTTTGGCATTTATCGGACCAGTTGATTCCAGGCTCACTTCATTTTACCATCCTCCTGAGCTCTATTTAAAATATTTTACGGAGAACAACGTTAAAATAGTCATAAGACTAAACAAGAGGTCATACGATGGTAACGTGTGAGTACAACAATAATCCGAATTATGTATTTGATGGGAATTTTTATTTGTTTTTTTTTTTTTTTTTTATTGCTTTAATGGGTGGACGAGCTTACATCCCACCTGGTGTTAAGCGGTTACTGGAGCCCATAGACATCTGCAACGTGAATGCGCCACCCACCTTGAGACAAGTTCTGAGATCTCAGTTTAATTACAACGGCTGCCCCGCCCTTCAAATCGAAACGCATTACTGCTTCACGGCAGAAATAAGCAGGGCGGTGGTACCTACCCGTGCGGACTCACAAGAGGTCCTACCATCAGTTTACAAGAGCTCTTACCACCAGTTTAACAAGTTTTAGTATTTAATAATGTTATATTCGTTAAACAGATTCAACAATGCCGGCATCGCGCATTACGATTTATTCTTTCCCGATGGTTCCTGTCCACCGAAGCATATACTATTTAAATTTCTTCAAATCAGCCAAGAGTCTAACGGAGCCATAGCTGTGCATTGCAAGGTGTTCTGAAATTTATATCAGTTACTAGCTTTTGGCCGCGACTTCGTCCGCGTGGAATAATTCACAAATAATGCTTTATTTTAGAACAAATTTGGTTAGCATAAAAAACGTAATAGTGAGCCAACCTTAACATATAGACATATGTTGTCGCGGACTTTCTTTAGATCTTTTCAAGGGAAACAATTCTGTCATACATTATTTTAGCGAAACTTTAACCGTTTCTGCAGTGCGGAAAGCGGAAGCTCTCAAAAGGTAAAAATAACCCCGATTTTGAAACATTCTTTATTGGTGCTCCGCTTGTATTGGTCTTAGCGTGATGTTATATAGCCTATATATAGCCTTCCTCGATAAATGGGCTATCTAACACTGAAAGAATTTTTCAAATCGGACTAGTAGTTCCTGAGATTAGCGCGTTCAAACAAACAAAATCTTCAGCTTTATAATATTAAGTATAGATTTCCTGTTCGCGAATTCGCGATTAGTTAATCCCGCATTGCTAATAAGCTGCCAATTGTAACATTTGTTTAGACAACGAAGGCGTAAACGAAACATTATTTTCAGGCTGGCTTAGGTCGCACCGGATCCTTGATTGGTTCATATTTGATCAAACATTATCGTATGACATCTCATGAGGCTATTAGTTGGATGAGGATATGCCGATCTGGGTCCGTTATTGGTCATCAACAGGTGAATAATTCCATCAGTATGCTAAAGCAATTAATAATAATAATAATAAAAATGTGCGTTTATCACGTTTTTTTTATTGCTTAGATGGGCGAATGAGCTCACGGTCCACCTAGTGTTAAGTGGTTAGTGGAGCCCATAGACACCTACAACGTAAATGCCGCCACCCACCTTGGGATATGAGTTCTAAAGTCTCAGTGTAGTTATTTACAACGGCTGCCCCACCCTTCAAACCGAACCGCATTACTGCTTCACGGCAGAAATAGGCAGGGCGGTGTTACCAACCCGTGCGGACTCACAAGACGTCCTACCACCAGTAATTACGCAAATTATAATTTTGCGAGTTTCATTTTTATTACACGATGTTATTCTTTCACCATGGAAGGCAATCGTGAACATTTGTTAAGTACGTACCTACATATTTCATTAGAAAAGTTGGTGCCCGCCTGCGGGATTCGAACCCCGGTGCATCGCTAGATACGAATGCACTGGAGGTCTTATCCTTTAGGCCACGACCACTTCAAAACGTTGAACGTGTGTTGCGTATTTCAAACAATCGTGCCTTACGTTACCAGTTTTTTTTATTCCCAGGAATGGCTGGAACAAATAGAATCATGGCTGATAAAACAAGGAAACCTATATAGGTAAACAGGTGAAGATTTTCTTATTGAGTTTTAATGAAAAAAAAAACTTGACGATTTTATTTCTAAAATATGAATTTCATATAACATACTTGAAGTTTACATCAGGAAACACAAGTACCAGGACACTGAAAGACTGCCAATACACGAGTTCGGAATATACTCGATCGCGGAAAGAAATTTTAGACAGAAGCCAGTTTTACTGCAAAAATCACCTTCTCCGCCACCTCCGATACAAAGGCACTTACGTCCTGATATTGCGGCTCCAGTAAGACCACAGGCATCCAAAGTTCGAGGTGATATTTATTTAATTTTGAAAAATCTGTTATCTTTTGTTGTTCCAATTGGTTAAAAGTCTTGTTGTTTGAAATCTTCAATCTTTGACGTAACGTGCCGCCAATTTTCTAGAAAAAAAGTGTCGTCTTACAATAATAATTAAATTGCACTTCTTTATTCAAAGAATTGCATCAACTATCGCATATTTTACGCACGGTTCAATTAATGGAAGAAAGGTCATTATTATGTAAAAAAAATATGTACATTGTTTTCGTTATCATTTTTCTTTTCACTTAAAAAAACCTAAAAACACAAAATTGAATATGAAAACATAATAATCAAGGGAAGCAATCAACAAAGGCAGGCGTTCATAGTTCATACCGCACGCACTCTGAACATTAGCATTGAATGAATCAAGGAATTTTAAAGCTCCGATTCACAAGAATAGGATACGTTAGGTATTACAATTTATTTAAAAAAAATCTGTAATAAAATTTTAAGAGATATCGATTTTAATTTCTGATATATTTACTTAACTATCTGGACTATATAAATTATACGTCTGTGACCAGTATTTTTCTACGTCTAGATAATAGCGACGAAGAAGACGAGATATTTCTAACGTCGTGCGATTTAACAGTTACTTCTGAAATTCCATTGACTCAAATGAAGGGTTGTATTATAAAAAGTAATATCATAATAGAAGACGAAAACGATAATGGCCATTTAGATAAATGGAAAGATTTTTGGAAAAACTTTTTGTGTTGCAAGCCTTGTATTCAAATTTGCAATGATAGCTTATGGAAGTTGTCGGTGCGTTACGCGAAGTGTTTCCCCAACAATTATCAATTAAACAACTGCTGCAATTTTGTAGACACGGTTGGTGTTTTGTTAGACTATTTCTATATTCAAGGTAGTGTTAATCTATATTTAAAGTTCTATGAAATGCACTTAATATCATATTTTATTAAAAATAAATATCTATCCATCTCATTTCATCGTGAAAATGTTGGGACAACGAACAAAATTTCTTTGTTAATTTTAGATATTATCAAGACTGTCAAGAAAGAACAACTCGAGGGGCGAATAAAATCAGCTAAACCTATTTCATCGATAAATAATATAAAAAATAAAGGGTAATCACATTTCTTAACTTATTAATGAACTGTCTTCTATGCACTCCTTTGCCGTTGGTGTCGGTGTTGGTGGATTTTGTTGTTTATAGGTTCTACTTTGGGTTACTGTCTATTAATCCGTAGGTCACATGGATTTGTTACAGTGATTTCACCAGTGATATTATAGCAAAAAGTGATTTAGAATCTGTCTCTACGAGGTCTCCTCGTCCTCAATCGCGAACTTCGAGCGCTCGTTCTAATTCTACGATTCAGCCAAATGTAAAAAGTAAAGTAAGTATTTTCGGCCCTGGGCACAGTTTCGCAAATTTCCGTCTTTTAATTAATTGTTTTAATTAAAGGAATCTAACATAAAATCAACGTATCGTATTTCTTCAAACGAAATGTATCCTGTTCACATGGTGAAAAATGTACACGACGCTAGGGTAAGAAAGGTTTTTTAATATGTAATTTTTCTGCTGGTCAATAAATTGATTTTTATATTGCTTAATAGATACATAATTAAGGTAGATTATCAATGTTTCTGTGATTTTCAGAATTTTTTGATGCGGAGTAGTATATTTAATGATCACCGAGGAAGACAGTTGAGTTCAACAGTCACAGTGACACCGGGGTGCACCATACGAATACCAACGAATACTGCTCCTAGCTACGCAGCTCACATGACACCGTCGTTTTTCAATGCGGGTACAATTTTCAATGTTATTAGTATGGAGTATAATTTCATTGCTAATGTACATATTAGAAACACTTTTTTAACTACATAAGCGCCACCTGTCGTATATTTTTGGTACTTTGACAAAAATGTTTCTGGAGTGCCAAAAAAATTAAACCTAATCTTTTTTTTTTTTTTTTTTATTGCCCTTGTAGGCAGACGAGCATACGGCCCACCTGATGGTGAGTGGTTACCGTTGCCCATAGACTTCAGCAATGCCAGGGGCAGAGCCAAGCCGCTGCCTACCGCAAGGAAGAGATACGCGAATGCTAGTAACATTTAACAAATATACAAACCTGTTTTTTTTTCTTCATAGATTATAGGTAGGATGGTAGAATCCGTCAAATTATTTTTATTTGTAAACTTGCAGTAAGTTTTAATTTACAGCTTCTAACACGACACAAAAGGGAAATTTAACACAGAACAGACGTAGGCTCGGACGTAGCCCCAGTCCATCGCCTACTCGTGTATTAAATAAACAAACACGGGCTACGAATACGCCTCCTTCACCTGCCGAGAAGTCCGTTGAGAAGGGATCATCGAGGCTCGCATTAAAAGAGGCTCTATCAAGACTCAAATGTTAGTACATTTAATAAATACGATTCAATGTATGTATGTAGATAACGAACGGTCTTTAGGTACGTAAGTCATAACACGTGTTCAATATAAGCACATATGAGAGTGCTGGTGCTTAATAGTTATTTAAAAAAAGAACTGATTGACAGTTACGGTATTTGTCAAAAACATTTTTACATGTCAAAATGCTACCTAACCTCTATGCGATTGTATTTGTGATGAAATAACAAGTATTATTTTAATTAAAATGATATTTTTATGAAAACGTAAAACTTTAGAGATTATTAAACGAACTAAAGCCATCTGAGATGGGTGCTTTAGTAGCGAAGGCATTAAGACCGGTCAAAGCTTTTAACATCGAGAACAGAGCTCATCGTGTGATTTCAAAAGAAAAACCTACACCGGCCCCTAGATATCCAGGAAATATTGAAGATTTGAAACGAACTTTAGAAGCTGACCCGAATATTGACGAAAAATTAGATAAAAAAGATCCTGCGCTTGACGATAGACTGAAGGATGTTTATGTAACATCTTACGGTCGGTCTGAAGATGACGTTACGCGGGAACTACGAAAAAAACAAAGCGAGGTAAGGCCTTTGCCTCAGGACCGGAAATTAGTCGAAGATTTTGAATTTGGATTTAGAGAACCGGAAAAAATTAAATATGGACGCGCTTCACTTAGACAAGTGGTAACCTTTATTTCCGCTCATCAAATAGACAGCAAAGAAGCTAGTCCAGATAAAATAGCATTTGAATATAAATTGAAGCTGGAAGATGTGGAAAGCATATTAAAATATTTTAAAACTTTTGAAATTTATATACCTGAAACTAAGAAAACTCCAGCAATGTTTGCAGGACCAGCTCATTTGAAAAAAGAACTTATCGAATCACAAAAGAAGGCAATTGAAGAAAAAAGTATGTTGGACGCTAAAACATTAAGACAAAAGAAAAGTTAGGTCTTGTAATTCATTCTTATAATGAAGTTAATGTTACTCAGTTGAAAAGCATAATTTGATTAATAAATATTATAATTTCTTGTAAGATGAACAAAAATATTTGTAACAACAGTTTGTTTGAAACATTCCGCTTGGAACATTTGCATGTAAAAAATATAAATAAAACTTCAAAGTTCTATCTCAGTTTGTTCTGAAAATAAAATTGCAATTACTTACATTGACTTTTTTCAGATACATTTCAATATTTATTTTTAGTTACATTTTGAAATGAAAACCTTTGCATTTAATATCAAATAAAACCTACTTGAAATTTTATAAAAGATAAAAGTAAAAATGCAAGGAAACAAAAATTAAAACCAGTGGACGCCTATAGGCTGAAAGATAGATAGATAGATATAAATAGGAAACAATATTAATGTGCTAAGCTAAGCAAAAACATTTTTCTTCTTTTCATTAAAGCGAACCCAACATTTTTTTTAAAAGGTGATTGGCTAATGACACTTGAGACTGTAGACCTTGCAAGTGACTTGATTTTCAACATACTACATGCCACAGCTCAAAAGCATTTTATAATTTCAATGTGAATTTTGTTGAAATCATTTCGAGAGGTGAAAGAAAGGCTATTTATTTAATTTAAGCAACATCTAGGCTCATATTGACTTATATACATATTCGGAATCAGGGGATTTTTCTCCATCGATTCACAAACAATTGTTTTTAATTGAACTTCATTTAGTTTATCCCATTCAAATAGCTGAAGAAATTTTTTTGTTATAACATTTTTTCTAAAATTTTAAACTTTAATTGGTTCTCTAGTAAAGATAAATACAAAGATGTTGTTTAAGCCTTTCACCCCTTGATTTATTATCATTGGGCCAGGTAAACTAGCTTTTCAAGGATGGCAACTATTGTTATTCAACCAAATTTAATTTCTTATACCATAAAATTGTTGTTAATTTATTTGTTAAATCTGTAGTTGTATGTAGACAGTGATAAATAAAATGAATTTCTTAGCATAAAAAGATTTTTATTCAAATTGAGTCATTCAAAATGCTCACTTATCTCATAGTAAATCTAAGTAAGACAATAAGTTGCTCATGAATATTAAAGGTTTTATTTAATATATAGGCAGTAGTTTATTGGAACGAAGTTCCTTACGGCAGGCTTGGAGGGGATAGGGATTTTGCTGCGCGACCGAATTGAAAAAAATGTGATAGTAAAACCGTAAGAAAAAATCCGTGGAAAAAAGTGCGTGGAATAAAACCGTTAAATGAGACGTGCGCAGGCGCGACAGTCGCATACACAAGCGAGTAGTGTTTAATACCTTACTCTTTCTCCTTCTTTCTTTTCGTTCTCTCATCCATTCTCTTTCTATTTTACGTAATTTATTATTTCCTAAAATACTGAATTTCCTAAATACTTTCCTATACTTAAATAAAACTAATCAGCAAAATTTAAGAGAAAAATCAAGAAAACCTACATTAAACTTCAGCACGATTATTTTTTTTGCAAATTGTGTCGATTCTACATTAGCCGAAGGAACTTCGTTCCTACCTGGTGTCCCACGACACCACATCTTTTTATTTTTTTTATCAGTAAACAACAGAGATGTTTATTTTTATATTATTTTACTTAAAAGCTTTATCATAAGTAGCACACGATTAGAATCTGTTCATTTTTCGTCTGGAGTTTTGCCTGTGTGAACTACATTTTATGCTAAGGTTGTTTTACCTTGAAATGGTAAGAGTAGGTCAGCTTAGAAACAATGCAGAAAAATCTAGTACCATCTATTTTAATCATCGTGTTTGATATCATCTCATGCATTTAATGAAAATTGGTTTTATTATACTTGATACCAAAAGTTTATCTTCACAGTGGGTGTTTCCTTCTTAGTAAGTCCCAACAAAAGTCAAGAGAGAATGGAGCGTGCAGTAGAAAATTGATTGGGTCGTTCTTCAGCAGACCTGAGTGTTTTGTCGCGATTGTACTAAAAAAATTGTTTCCGTGTTTTTGTGCAAGTATTTCCATATTGAATTATTTTTTTCGTCGTTTCCCAACCTATTCGTTGGTAGCCTAGGGGGCTATTCCAGCGACGCCCGGACCGGTGAGCTCACGGGCTCAACCTAAGAGAATTAGCTAATACTAGCCCTAGCAAGAGCAGTGCTTCGCAGAATCTCCACCGGATCGGAAACGCGACCCACTGAGAAGATCCGGCGAGAAACTCAGTGGGCTGTGTCTATGGGTTAATTCACTCGTCGAACTTTTTGTCATAATCGAAAAGTTCGACGAGAACGGTGGCCGGTGCTTGAGAGGCCTAAAAGCTCGGAGAGTGAATCCGGAGATCCGACAAGACATACCTATTTAGGGCGACGTCGGCTTTGCGTTACCCCATCGCGGTCGGATAAGTAATTAGTGGAAGTAGCGTTCTGACGCTTCCTTAAGATACTTACGTCTCATTAATAAATTTAGGTCGTCGTGAACATCTACATTCCTCACATACCACGGTGCTCCGACGGCTATCCTGCAGAAACGGCATTGGATGACCTGGAGAGAGTTAATGTGTGTATAGGCCACGTGAGCGAACAATACACTTGCATAATATGTAATGGCAGAACGTATGCAGGTTTTGTAGAGTGTCACCTTGTTATGAAGGGACAATTTACCTCGCTTGCAGATCATGGGGTAGAGTCGACCGAAAAGGAACGCGGCTCGGTGGCGTACTGGCTTAATGTGGGGCCCGAATGTCATCCCCCTGTCGAGAGTGACGCCTAAGCACTTAGCCTTCGAAGCCCACGATATGGGCCTGCCAAAGATTTTTATGGCAGGAATGGAGTTACTGCGTCTAATTTGTGACGAGATACTAGCAGTAGTTTTATTTCGGGAATGGACTTACTGCGCCTAATTTGTGACGAGATACTAGCAGTAGTTTCGGGAGGGCGACCCCTTTTGAAGAGCACGGCTGTGCTTTTCGTGGGGTCGGTGTCAATGCGCCACTTATAAAACCACTGTCCTAATTGGTGGCCGCGACTGAAGTTTATTATGCATGAACGACATATTCCTACTCTAGTAGTAGATAGACGTATTATCCGCGAAAAGGATTAAGTTGGTCACCGGCGACCAGGGCAAATCATATTATATAATGACACTCACCATTCCAACCGGAAGGCATGCCTGCTTTGTCGTCGAATCGTTGTGGTACCCGCACTGACTTCAATAGGTACGCTCTGTTCTCAGTAATGTTTAGTACGTACAGATGTATTGGTTAATTATAAAAAAAAAAATCCATAAGCCCATCCATGACTATTGTTTATAATGTAGAAAACCTCAAAAGTTTTAAAACTTTTTTTTTTTAATATTATTATTTTGTAGTAAGCAACCCGAGAGACGGGTCTATAGGGGCAGCGTCGGTTGGTGCCGCGTCCCTGGGGGCCCGACGTGAAGCGCCGGCGACCAAACGAGCGCCCAGCGTACGGTCGGACGAACGCCATACTGCCACACAGGGAGATATGCTGAACAGCATTAAGGTATATACCTGTAGTGTAGTACATATAAGTCATATAATCTATCTTCTATCTTCTATATATTTAAAAATGAATTGCTGTTCGTTAGTGTCGATAAAACTCGAGAACGGCTGGACAGATTTGGTTAATTTTGGTCTTGAATTATTTGTGGAAGTCCAGAGAAGGTTTAAAAGGTAGATAAAAATATGAAAATGCACGGAATTAAATAAAAATAACAATTTTGTTTTTCTTTTGATGTGTCGCCCGTCGGACGGATTCCTTTCGTTTGTTTTCTTTTATAAAAAAGTTTAGGTCTTTTATTTATCGATTGAGGCACTACGAAGTCTGCCGGGTCAGCTAGTTTGTAATAATAAAGTAGTATTAAATCAACACTCTTACAAGACAGTTGTTTTCATTCGAACTAGAAACTCCCTTAATGGCGACCTTGCCATGTGAGAAAATTGGGCAGTTCCAAGAATAAGCAAGATGTTAAAAGTACACAAACTGCATCAGGCAGAAGTAACGGCGCGTTGCTCAATCCAAACAAGGCAGGGTCGCCATGAAGGGAGTTTCTAGTTCGAATGAAACTTGTCCGAGTGTTGGTTTAATACTACTTTATTATTACAAATTACATGACTTATATGTACTACACTACATACCTATATAGACCTAGCATAATAAAAGACAATTAAAGAAAAGCTATACAAATATGCGAGAAAGCGGTTGTCTGCCGGTTACTCTGAAAGTTTACGATGACTATGAACTAGTCGTAGGTAACCAAGAGGTTATGAATACCGAGAATTTAATATGAATAAGAATCTGTATGGCGGTGGTTACTCAGTTAACATTATTTCATTATTTATTGTATTAGTTACTTTATTAATTTTATATTCGTAGTTGACAAATAATAATTTTAATAATTTTGATTCGGTTTCATTTATTTTGGTTTCATTTTTGTTTTTAATCATTCTGATAAATAATTTTAATTTTATTGTATTTTGATTGAAATATTATGTAATTGTATGTGAAATTTTATGGGCTTAAGTTGCCTGTAATAAACGCATTTCATTTCATTGTTCAAGCGATGCGACCATGCGATTCAAACACCGCAGGAAGGTACGAATTCTTGTAGGAAAATGCGTGCTCACCATGTGCGTGGGGATTATTTTTACGACGGCAATATTGTGTGATAAATTAAATCTCTAGAAATTAACAAAATATGTGTAGCTCGCGCTTTTGTTTGAGAGCAGTGCTTCGCAGAATCTATCCCGGATCGGAAACGCGACCCACTGAGAAGATCCGGCAAAATACTCAGTGGGCTGTGTCTATGGGTTAATTTACTCGTCGAGCCCTTTGTCCCAAGCGACGGGTTCGGCGAGGACGGTGACCGGTGCTTGAGATACCTAAAAGCACCGTTAGTGGATCGGGAGGATCCGTAATGACGTGTTTAGGGCGACGTCGACTGTTTACCATTCGGTCCACAGGATCGGCTATGGCAGCTCGCACGAGTGCGTAGTGGTAATACTAATATATACTACGTTTTTTGGAAAGACATTACAAGGGAGACTTCGGCCTCATGTTGCCAGGGGGTGTCGGCGTTTTCGTCAATGAGTTCAGTGTGCTTACTGCAAGATTCTTAACGCTCTCGATAGCGTAAAAGTTAACCCAATTTTGTATGCAGTTGGAACAGCGCCCCTAGCGGCAAACTTTGCGAACGATCCCGTTCCATACAAATATGAGCTAACTTTTACGCTATCGAGAACGTTAAAAAACTCGCACTAAGCACACAGATGATCGCGTGACACCAAGTTAACCCTGAACTCGTTCTCTTTACAATAAAACAAAAGAAACAGTAGTAGTTGTAGATAAAACCAGATTAAAGTATTACGTAATGTTCATTTAGTTCCAAAGGCGACTACGGGAAACTTTGAACACGGACAGAATTCGTAACGTGTTTCACGAGAAAATTAGGTAAGTTTATTTGTATGTATTGTGATAGATTATTTATTTATTCGCGATAAATTGTCATTCACCTCTCAGTACTGTTCTAATATTTCATATTAGGTCTTCCCCATAAAATTCCCCTCATGTTCAGACCTAATTTGTATCTATATATATAAAAATGAATTGCTGTTCGTTAGTCTCACTAAAACTCCAAAACGGTTGGACCGATTTGGCTAATTTTGGTCTTGAATTATTTGTGGAAGTCCAGAGAAGGTTTAAAAGGTAGATAAATATAAAAATGCTCGGATTTAAATAAAAATAACAATTTTGTTTTCCTTTGATGTGTCCCCCGTCGGACGGATTCCTTTTGTTTGTTTTAAGTTTATTTAATACAAAAGTTTAGGACTTTCATTTATCGATTGAGGAAGTACGAAGTCTGCCGGGTCAGCTAGTATTTAATAATAACTATTTGTATTGTCATAAATTTTATTTAAAGGTTATTAATGTGTTAATATTTTGTATAGCGCTCATCCATCTAAAGACAGATCAAATATCAAGAACTCTTAAAAGAAACTACCAAAAAAATAAATTTCGACAATGTCACAAATCAAACACCTCAAGTTGGTTAGTATTTTAGGACTTTCTTCCTTGACGTAATACTTTAGTGGTTTGGCAACATTATTCAATCTATGTATAAATAAGCAAAGAAAAACAGATATGTACCCACAATTCTTTGCTTTGGTTTTCAACCGATTACCTCTTTCAGCTATTGAGTTTGTGTTATCTGTATATATATATTTTTTAATAATAATCAGTTTTTCTTTTCTGAAATATCAGTAGTGAAACAAAAAAGAAAATACAATACATAAAATGAATTAAAACATGAATAACTTTAAAATGATTTTGATTATTCGGTTGGTTTTAAACTTGGTAAAGTTGGTGCTAATTGGAGACTCAGGGTTTTGTCCATAATACCACCAGCGCACTACATACGTGTAACGCGCGTGTAGTTTCAATAAATGCACGTCTTTTTACTGGTGGTAGGGCCTCTTGTGAGTCCGTGCGGGTAGGTACCACCACGCTGCCTATTTCTGCCGTGAAGCAGTAATGCGTTTCGGTTTGAAGGGTGGGGTAGCCGTTGTAACTATACTTGAGACCTTAGAACTTATATCTCAAGGTGGGTGGCGCATTTACGTTGTAGATGTCTATGGGCTCCAGTAACCACTTAACACCAGGTGGGCTGTGAGCTCGGCCACCCATCTAAGCAGCAAAAATTTTTTTTTTGTAATTTATTAACAATTTCATTCTTGTAGCATACTATAACGAAGATTTACAGAGCAACGTTTGAAGACGAGTAGGTTTGATATAAATGTATTTTTTTACTTTTGCATTTATTTATAATTTATCTTTTAATTTTACTGTCATATTTTTGTAAAATATAAATTTGCCATGTTGAATAAAACGAATTTTACAATTGTATATAAGTTTTATTTATTTACAATAATAAAAAAAAATGCATAGATACATACCGTCAATAAAATAAGTTTTTATGTACAAAAATAGTATTTAATGGAACACCTACAATTATAAATACATTAACGTCATTGTTTTTGAAGTCAAGGGCATTCAAACATCCCCAATGTAATATTGGCGACAGATTATTAAAAATGGGAATATATTGTATAATACTAAAAATGCATCGTTTATAAGGTTGCTTCATACACGTTTACTTTTGCTCGAAATATTTTAATCTAATTGAAAAAAAAACCTAATAAAAAAGGTTTTTTTTTAAAATTACTTCGAGATACCAATATGCTTAGCGCGAGTTTCTTAACGTGCTCGATAGCGTAAAAGTTAATCCGATTTTGTATGCAATTGGAACAGCGCCCCTAGCGGCAAACGTAGCCAAACGTTCCAACTGATTGAGTTAACTTTTACGCTATCGAGAACGTTAAAAAACTCGCACTAAGCACACTGAAACGAGTCGGACCTATTTGACGTAAGAGATTTTGATATCAATACGTGTTTATTTTCATGTAGTTTTCTTATGGACTCGGCTATAGCAGATACACATATCCGCGTCATCGGGCGAGTAGGTGAGCTCGCGGGGCTCAAACCTGACGTTGTCGCTAACAATGTTCAATTCAGAGTGTAAGTGACTTATGAAACAAATTATTATGTCAAACATCGAACGGTCTAATCCTTTAGTACCTTAACAAAAAATACTATTTATTGAAATTATTAATGGCATGCAACGGACTCAAATGAAAATTTTCTCCTGTGTTACGGGCACCGAAAATACGAGACTACAAAAAGTGCACACAATTCCTGATTAAATAAAAATGATATTATTATGTACAAAATTCAATAAATTTTTTTTACTCACCAAATACTGTTTTTTCGGTAGCTTTTCTAACTATTTTTTTCCTGCCTAAGCTGATAGCCTTGAGAGGCTATGTCAGCGTAACGTTGCAAGCCTGACGTTGTTGCTAATACGAACCCTAGCAAGAGCCGTGCTTCGCAGAATCTACCACCGGATCAGAAACGCGCCCCACTGAGAAGATCCGGCGAGAAACTCAGTGGGCTGTATCTGTAGGGTTAGTTTAGAATGATGACCGGTGCTTGGGATATTTTCCATTAGTGTACTTAGCGAGCCACATATGACCTTGATCGAGTTAAAGTTTTTTAGCAATAAAATAAGAACGGAGTGATGCTAAGTGAGTCCCGGGTCTGGCGGCGGCGGCGCCATGCAGTTGCCGTCCGGATAACGTTTCTTGAAGGCGACTATCAGGTCCGGATCCACAAGGTTCACGCCGTCCACCTGGTTCCCCAGAGTTATCCTGGAAACGGAGATATAGCTGTAAGGTAGGCAGCAGCTTGGCTCTGCCCCTGGCATTACTGACGACCATGGGCGACGGTAAACACTTAGCCATCAGGTGGGCCGTATAATGTATGCCAACAAAAGCAATAAAAAATAAATAAAAAACACTCAAGTGTATGAACCGGGATCTTATTACTGCTTCACGGCAGAAATAGGCAGGGTGGTGATACCTACCCGCGCGGACTCACAAGAGGTCCTAACACCAGTAATTAAGCAAATTATAATTTTTGTGCGTTTGATTTTTATTACAAGATGTTATTCCTTCACCGTGGAAGCCAATTGTGAACATTTGTCGAGTACGTATTTCATTAGAATTTTTTTTACCTGCCTGCGGGATTCGAAAATCGGCACGTCGCATAGCTAGATACGAATACACCGGACGTCTTATCCTTTAGGCCACGACGACTTCATCATGAGTTAAGTTACTGCTTCACGGTAGACATAGGTAGGTTAGTGATACCACCAATAAATATAGGTTATAAATATATATTCAAGTACATACCAATTCGGTTGAACGTTGTGTGGGCGACCGAATAATTCGATCTTCCTTGTACCCGGACTGAGCCTCTCTGGAAATCACAACTCAGCAATTAACATTAACAATCCTCTATGTGTGAAGACAACAATGTTAAGATATATCTTATTTAGGGTACTTGAGTCGTCTATTATCAAAGGTGGCAATCTGTGCATTTGGACAAAAAAATGTTATTGATATGTCGATACAGATAGATTTGAATATAATCGTCTCCTTCAAAGAATACGGTTCAAAACCTGCATTAAATAAAGGTTAATACTTAACCTGTTATTTATCTAAGATGTCGTTCAGAAGAGTTTTGTGACTGCCAATGGAATACAAATTCAATAATTCGTTTATCTGATTTACCAATAATTGTCCAAAAGTCACATTGCCGGCTTTGATAATAGTCGACTCACTTAACATAATAATAATTATTAATTATTATATTATATATTAGATTTATATGTACATAAATGGCCAAAGTACCTACGAGTTTTTACAAAGTACTACGTGTCATTAGATTTTCTTCTTTGTTAAGTAGACAGTGACGAGATTTGGAATTAAAAAAAAATACTGCAATTTTACCAGTAATAAAAAGTTAGAAAAAAAACAACAATGTAAGACGTGAAATTACTCTCAAACTTAAGACGTCAGTGATTAAGACCAAATTTCGATTATCGGATAACACTAGTTAAGATGAAACGGTTAATAATAAAATTAAAGACCAACATGATTATTCATGCAGCCTGGCAATACTGACATGTCTATTAATCGTGCGTGATCTATGGTCACGATGATTTTTTTAATTACTAAATTTTATAATACAATTCAAGGGCATCCCTTTATTTATCATATATGCATATAAAAAAATGTATTATTATTGCGAACTTTTTTTTTTTTAAACAATCACGCCACGTTAACTGGTTTCGTGATAAGTTCGTAAAGAACTTGTGTTACAGGTACCAGATAACGGAAATAAATGTAATATTTTTATTATACACATACATATATTTAATATACATCCATAATCCTGGAAAAGACATTTTTATAATTATCATACAAATATTTTCCCTTGGCGGGATTCGAACCCGCGACTCCCTTGTGTAGTGACCATGTCACTTACCACTACACCAGACGGCCGTTTGACTTTTTTGAATTTTTTTTGAATACTATTTAATTCGTTAGTTACATGAAACAAAAACCAACCGATAATGCCGTATATCTCGTCGGGTTTGTGTGAAGTCGCCCTAACTTCGGCTACGATGACGTCACAGTCCAGACCCCGATTCAAATTCTCAGGGCTACCTTTCATGCCAACCTGAAATAAAAGATAAAAAAATATATAAATAGTTGTATTTATATCGACATTAAGTTTACTCCATTCAAATAATAGCTGAAGAAGTTTTTTTTGTTATGATATTTTTTTTGGGCCCTAAAATAATTTACAATACACGAGTGCCCCTCTTTGCCTATTGAAAACGAACACGGTCTATCGAGTGTTGGACGCGAAGTCGCCTAGTCAGCAATAGACACCTGAAGGCTGGGTTTTGCCTGGGCTGGCTGGGTTAAGTCAATTAAAACTGAAATTGCAATTATTTTTGTCTTGAGTTGTAGTTTATCCACATAAAATCCCAATAATATATTATAATAATAGAACGTATTTTGAAAATATTATATATTTAATGAGATTTAATAAATATCTTGTAAATAATAACAAAAGATCATTTGCGCTGAATACTGGAATAATTTTTACTGGTGGTAGGACCTCTTGTGAGTTCGCGCGGGCGGGTACCACCACCCTGCCTATTTCTGCCGTGAAGCAGTAATGCGTTTCGGTTTGGAGGGTGGGGCAGCCGTTGTAACTATACTTGAGACCTTAGAACTTATATCTCAAGGTGGGTGGCGCATTTACGTTGTGGATGTCTATGGGCTCCTTCTTAAAAAAAATGCATTACTAATACATTAAAAAAACATTACACACACTACCGTGTATTTGACACATACGCATATTTAAACTCTTTGTTTATTGTCAAACTTTTATTGTTGAATATAGCCTGTGGTCAAATTGAGAATAGGTTAATATTGTTTATCTTTAACATTATTTGTCTTTAGTGTAGTCTTGGCGAAATCTGTGATTATAAAAGTATAATCTTTGACAATAGAATCATAATAATGTTCAAACTTATAATTTCAATTGATTATAGTCGAATTTCGACTACTGCGGGACCACTAGTATTTTTGAAAATTACAGTAAACATTTTCAATGCCATCGTTTAAAAATCAGAACAAAAAAAAGGATACCGATTTTTTTAAATTTTTTTTTATGCCGTGAATTTTAATTTTAACTCACAAGACAATGTTCTTTCCCGTGATTCAGCCAGTGCCCGGTCCGGCCGGTTCTGATGATGCGTTGCAGTTGATTCGTCTTCACCCATATCAGCTCGTCGACGCGCTCGTAGCCCCACAGCTTGAGGCATTCGCGACCCAACTCCATCGCTCTGCGGACAGTTAGTCGATAAATAATACTAGTAGCCCTGACTTTTTGGCGGGAACGCGAAGAGTGAAGTTGGGTGATTTGTTTTATTTTGTCTATTTCGTGTTTCTTCAGGTTTAAATGCGTAATAACGGTGGCTTGTTAATTATTTAGTTAACAGTTAATAGACCACCAACCATCACCAACATAGTAGTTTAGTTAGACACATTATCTTTTTTCGTCTTACGTATTTTCGGCGGTAAAAAAGTTTCGTGTCGCAGACTATCTTAATTTTTTCACCTATCGTGCGTTCCGGTTTACGCATCATAGAAAGGTACATTCTTAAACGCCACAGACCTATCGAAATGGTTTAATTTATAGGCCCCGAGTGAGGGTAATGTAACATTTTAGGTTACATTACTCTCATTAATAGGGTATTTTTTACTGGTGACAGGACCTCTTGTGAGTCCGCGCGGGTGGGTACCATCATCCTGCCTATTTCTGCCGTGAAGCAGTAATGCGTTTCGGTTTGAAGGGTGGGGCAGCCGTTGTAACTATACTGAGACCTTAGAACTTATATCTCAAGGTGGGTGGCGCATTTACGTCGTAGATGTCTAAGGGCTCCAGTGACCACTTAACACCAGGTGGGTTGTGAGCTCGTCCACCCATCTAAGCAATTAAAAAAAACATCAGTCACCTGCCCGTGACCCACAAGAATATAAGTCCGCTGTCCTGCAGCTGCGGTATCCCGAGGCACCGCATCTCGTCGTCCGACATGGTGCCGTAGGGCAGCTCCATATGAATATCCCAAGGCGGGTCAGCCATTATTACGGCGAATTTACCTGAAACAATCGAACGTGCTGTATGTTTCAACTTTGTTATACAGGGCGTNAAAAACATCAGTCACCTGCCCGTGACCCACAAGAATATAAGTCCGCTGTCCTGCAGCTGCGGTATCCCGAGGCACCGCATCTCGTCGTCCGACATGGTGCCGTAGGGCAGCTCCATATGAATATCCCAAGGCGGGTCAGCCATTATTACGGCGAATTTACCTGAAACAATCGAACGTGCTGTATGTTTCAACTTTGTTATACAGGGCGTTCGAACAGCTGAGGCAAACTGAGACAGACAGACTTGAATGTGGGAATGAAATAAAGCCGCTGAACGTAACTTCTTGGGATCCGCCAAAAAATTCACTGAAAAATGACCACGATTTTACTGAGATTATATTTCATCCCATATCATCTCATTTCATGCCATGTTTCATATTAATCAACTTAATTCCATTTCATAATATCATATTTCATATAAAAAAGTTTTCATTAAAATTAAAATAAAACTTGACCTAAAGGTCCTGGTTACCAGGTCTCAAGGCTATCAGCTTAGGTAGGAAAAAAAGGTCATAAAATCCCTTAAAAAACAATTATTGTTAATGAAGTGTCGGAGTGTCTCACCATTCAAACTAGAATGCATGACTGCGTCTCAGCAGATAAAAGCAATATAAACTACACATGTTAGCTCGCAATATTGCCTACTTATGCACATGTTGATAATTACATTTTGACTATAAAAGTATCTCTATAAGCTTCGACTACGACTTTGACTAGTCGAATTAGTCAGAGATGGGCGTGCAGTCTAGGCGTACGTGAAAGGTTGGTTTTTAGCAAACACAATTTAAAAAAAAAAATTGTCTATGAGAGCGCGGCTCCCGCGTCTAAACTAATAACAGTATTCAATGATGAATCAATATAATTTTAGCATTTTCATCGACTTTGGTGACTCGTAGTCATAATACTACTTTTGCTATTAAAATTAGAGCTTTTTTTTCGTCTTCCATAAGACATTAATTGTTCTGAGCTTAGTTCGTACACGTGATTGCCTGTTGTAATTAGTTTGTAAATTAATATAATTTACTAGATTCTTGACTGACTTAACAATAAAATGGTCTTACCTAAGAACGTCATGTCCAAATATCTAAGGTCGCACTGTATCCACTGCGGAGGCGTCAGAGTCAAAACACCGTCTGTATTCAAGCACTTCGATATAGAACTTGTACCTGTAATAAATTAATAATAAATGTAAATTGTAATAGGTAGTAATAGTAAATAAATGTAATTTGTAATTGTAAAATGTAATAAAATTAATTAATAATGTAAATGCCTTTGTGCGTTTTCAAAAGTACACTGTAACATAGTATGACCATGCTACATATATCATTCTACACACCTGCCGGCTCTGGAATGAATTTATGATTCCGATGAACTTTTTACACTCAACATCTAATTCCGCCGCCTATTGTACAAATGTATCTGCTTTTTTTTTTATTGTTTTTGAATGTAAATTGTGTTTTGGTGTGTAATAAAGTGTATTCTCTCTCTCTCTCTCTCTCTCTCTCTCTAATTCATAATACTGTTACATTCTAATATGTTGACCCGGTAGATTTGGAACATAAATAAATACTCACAAAAACAACAATATATTTACCATTTTGCACGGACTTAGTCAGCGCCTCCACTGTCTTAGTGTTCGCATTTGGATCGGTGTTATCCACTTCGTAATGAACGTACCTGTTTGAGAAACATTACATTAGAAACTAAAGCAGGCCATACACGTTTTCGTAGACCGTAGAATACAGAGGACCTATAAACAGGAATGTGGAGATTCGCAGGAGAACCATGGTAACTGACACATAGCCCGAAGGGGTATATCGTCGCTGTCAAACCAAAATCTGCTATCTGCAAAAACTCTATTTTGAATTAACGAGTAAAAACATTTTCGTATAAAATTTTATATGAAGGTGAATTTTTAAGAACTAATATCAAATGAAAGCTATAGATAAATATTAAAGCTCTAGACACAAGTTTTTTTAAGTTATATTTCTTTAGGCGCGTTATGAAAAATTGATGAGAGTGAAGTTTTACGATGCGCGCGCACCGTGACACAAAATTAACAAAAATGACGTTGCCCACTAAATCGCTCATTACAATACGACCGACGTAACTTGGCGAGTCTGAATAAAGCCGCAGGTGAAATTTCGCGCATGTACACTCGTAAAAAAAAAGTGTTGTTAGCATTAATTTTTTAGTAATATAAATGATAAAATTATTATTTAATATAATTCATACTAAATATTATTAAATTATTAACGTTAACTATTAATTATTAATTATTTAATATTAAAAAAAAAGAAATAAATTTAATAAAAATAAAGTATTACTTCTTACGCGCGTACATAAGTACACGCACTCTTTTTTTATACGGTAGATAGAGCTGTAACTATACGAAAAGGTCAAAAAATAAAAAATATCAAAAAGTGCACATAGCAGATTTTGGTTTGACAACGACGATATATCTATTTTATTAATTTCCATGGTGAAAGTTCATGGCAGTATATAATGCTGATGGGAACCAACTATGTGGTAGATCACCTACCCGTAGGTCAAAGCTGATATTTTTTTTATTGCTTAGATGGTTGGACGAGCTCTAGGCCAAGATGGTGTTAAGTGGTTACCGGAGCCCATAGACATCTACAACGTAAATATCGCCACCCACCTTGAGATATAAGTTCTAAGGTCTCAGTATAGTTACAACGGCTACCCCACCCTTCGAACCGAAAGGCATTACTGCTTCACGGCGAAAATAGGCGGGGTGGTGGTACCTACCCGTGCGGAATCCCAAGAGGTTCTACCACCAGTGATCACGCAAATTATAATTTTGCGGGTTTGATTTTTATTACACGATGTTATTCCTTCATTGTGGAAGTCAATCATGAATGTTTGCTAAGTACGTATTTCATTAGAAAAATTGGTACCCGCCTGCGGGATTCGAACACCGTTGTATCGCTAGATACGAATGCACAGGACCTCTTATCATTTAGGCCGCGACTTCAAAATCGTCAACATCACTTACTAACATGCCTACATTATATACATATCAGCTCTTAAGACTGAAGAGACACGTGGCGAGTTGTGAACATACAGACTCAATAAGAAGTACAACATATGAGACCTTAGAACTTATGTCTCAAGGTGGGTGGCGCATTTACGTTGTAGATGTCTATGGGCTCCAGTAACCACTTAACACCAGGTGGGCTGTGAGCTCGTCCACCCATATCTATATATATATAAAAATGAATTGCTGTTCGTTAGTCTCGCTAAAACTCGAGAACGGCTGGACCGATTTAGTTAATTTTGGTCTTGAATTATTTGTGGAGGTCCAGAGAAGGTTTAAAATGTTAGATAAATATGAAAATGTTCGGAATTAAATAAAAATAACAATTTTGTTTTTCCTTTGATGTGTCCCCCGTCGGACGGATTCCTTTTGTTTGTTTTAAGTTTATTTTATACAAAAGCTCAGGTCTTTTGTTTATCGATTGAGGCACTAAGAAGTCTGCCAGGTCAGCTAGTAAGCAATGAATAAATAAAAAAGAATTAATTTCCATACGCACTTGCAGCTGTCCATATGAAAGCACGTGTTCAGGAATGAACAGTCACCCAAGGTTTCGTCGGTGTGACCCTGTATGATCTTTTTGAAATGTAACTTTTTGCAAGTGTTAGTGGTACCGTCTTGTGTACTGTTAGGGCTGATAGCTCTACCACACTCCGCTCTGGTGCCGTGCGGACAGAACTCCATTACTTGAGCACCTGATGACAAAATCAAAGGGGTTCTATGTTTTATTTTAAAATTTTCAGGTTTAAAACCTCAAATAGTTTTTAAAATAGAGTAGAAATAATAACAAACCTCCTTGGCTTTTGAATTTGTCAGCTAAGGACCTCTCTTTAGCTGTGGGCTTGCTCAATAAATCCATTATTTCTTCACCTACTCTCTTCACTGCTTTCTCTCTACTTGAAGGCATCGCTAGGAGGGACTGAAATAATAGTGAAGCTTTTAATTACACACGCACGCACGCACGCAAGCACGCACACGCACGCACACACGCACACATTATAAATTACACATATTATTCATTAAATATTATAAATTAATTATTAATATTACACATTATAAAGTTAACTATAGAAAGGGAGACATTAATTTTGAATTAGAACAGCATCATCTTTCTCTTCAGTGTTTCAGTTTAAAGGATTTGACAGTTGTAATATAACACAGACTTTAAGTCTGTCTGAAGGTGTGTGATTCCTATAGGTCTCTCCTTTTTTTTTCCTACCTAAACTGATGACTTTGAGAGGCTATTTCAGCTTAACCCTAACAAGTAGGTGACCTCGCAGGGCTCAAACCTGAAGACGTTGCTAACACTAGCCCTAGGAAGAGCAGTGCTTCGCAGAATTTACCACCTGATCGGAAATGCGACCCACTGAGACGATCCGGCGAGAAGCTCAGTGGGCTGTGTCTGTGGGTTAATTTACTCACCGAGCCCTTCATCACAAGCGATGGGTTCAACAAGAACAATGACCTATATATTTCCTGATGGTCATTTAATATAGTGTACTACCTATCTCTAACAATATGTATGTGAAATTGCACTATCAGGTTCAAAACAAGATTTGTGAGTTTATTTTATGGTTACCATAATATCTGTGTCGCTCTTGCCAGACTTCTTTTCCTCGGTGGACATCTTAGGAGCTTTTGTAATTGATGTATCTTCAATGGGACTCTCACCTGTCATACAGAGTAAAACTGCTGTTTATTCATGAATAAACTCAATTTAATTTTTATGACACTTCACAGTATTCATAATTGACTTTCCCACTTTGCTTTCTTTAGGTGATCTGTTCGTTCTAAAGAACGGTATGTTCCCATCACTTCATTCAACAGTTGTATTAGAACAAGATCTTTAAACCTATTTGGAAAGGATATCGTCATTATTTGTTTGTGGAGGCAAACCTTTTTGGAGATAAGCATTTGACATTCACCTTTTCTTTTGTTGCTAGTTGTCGTGGTTTCTTCTTCCATCAGAGCTGCAAGAACGGCCGCAAGCCTCCCTGACTCTGCACTCACTACCTCAACGTCAGCATCTGTTGTTACTTCCATTTTTTCTCTTATACTGTGTAAAAATACAATAATGTAATGTTTGTTTTTGTTATACATTCCTTTCATTTTGTTTTTACATGTTCCCAAACCAGTGTCGCACGTCTAAATGGCTATCATTTAAAACCACGACTCTTAAAATGATTGAAACACTAATCTCTCAAATATAATTAAAAAGTAGCTATTCTGTCAGTTTTTATCTGTTTTTAATAATATTCTACATCTATTGTAATTAGTTGCTTTAAATTTTACAGTTTATTTTCAAATAATTTATTTTTTAATTATAACTGTAGCATCCAGTTTGTAAATAAATGTAAATAAAAAATTAAACTGTAATTTGTGAACACTTTGGAAAAGCCTGGAATGACTTATTTTTAAACATAATATCAACATCCTGATACCTTAAAAACTTACGTGATCAACTTCTGTGTTGCAAACTTCTGTAACAGGTTTGCTACAATCTCCGTGTCCACATCTCCAAGTCCTGGTAGCAGAGCACTGGCAGTAGCAGGTAACTGCAATTGCATATCTGATAGAACTTGTAATAGACGCACTTCCAATGATGCTGGTGGAACGATTGGTTTTGACTTTTCTTGCAAAGTTGAAGCTGGAATAATAAATCATTGTATTTTATTCTAATAGCATTGGTAGAGACTAGTACTAAAGTTTGTTTTGCTCTTTGGTGAATTATTAGGTATTCTTATTTCGGCCGTGAAGCAGTAATGCGTTTCAGTTTGAAGGGTGGGGCAGCTGTTGTGACTATACTGAGACCTTAGAACTTATATCTCAAGGTGTGTGGTGCACTTACATTGTAGATGTCTATGGGCTCCAGTAACCACTTAACACCAGGTGGGCTGTGAGCTCGTCCACACGTCTATGCAATAAAAAAAAAAAGGGAGTAAGATCTAAACTTTATACTAAAGTTTTTCCACCTGTGTTTCAGCTTAGTCTTCGTGTTTGCTTTACTACTTTCTATGATACTGTTTAGTACCGATACGAATACTATATTTTGCGAATTCGATATGCATTTTGAAAAGAATAAAATTTAAATCTACTTTATTTATTTACCTTCTGATTTTGAAGCCGGGCTACCAAGTGATCGATCTTTATTAGGAGAGGCATCAGATTTCTCGCCACTGACCAAACTAGAGCTCAAGATACTTTGGCGTTCCTTTTTTCGTTTCTCCAACTTTTCACGGAAACTTTTCCTTTTGCTTTTCACAGCTTGTATTTCCTCCCAAGCGTCCGACATAGTGAATATTTGTTTTTTTATTTTATGCCCTAGTAATTTCACTGGCTATTTCATGGTTATTGGGATATTTGTTGTGATTTTTGAGATAATATTTGCTAATTCGATTTAATATTAAAGTAATAATCTTACTTAAACCAAGCAAATCTTAATCGCTGATTAAAAGTTAACTTATAAAAATTCTTGATACATAATGTACCTACATACTTTTAATTCATAAAATTAGGTTTAAGCGAGTTAAATAAGCTATTAAATCTCACAATTTTATTTGTCAAACAGCAAGTTTGATAATTTTTTTATCGGTAAGTACCATAGACCTGTCAAATGTCAATTGAGCCATTTGAGATTTTTTTTATAGATTGCGATACTTAGGGCAAGGGCGCAGCGACGGATCGTTTTTATAGCTTAGCGCTGGCTCTCGGTCGGGGGCTGCCTGGACTCTTAACAATTTATAATTAATAATTATAGAAGTAGAAACACAATCATAATTTGCATCTGTGCTTGAACTAGGTGATAAAACCTGTATCTTAAGTAAAAATACAATTTCAGTTATTTAAGCAAGTTGATTTAATTAATAAATTAAAAATGTATAATTAATAAATGACCGGTGACATTCGGTTACTTATATATTTATTACGGTTGCTTTCAATAGTCCCAATAGGCAGACTAGATTATAATATCGATTTCATATACTATATTGTAGTGGAAAAAAATACGTAAATTTATATTTTATGGAATGTTAATGAACGCCAGCTAGAAAACTATTTAAACTAGTATCAAACTGCAACTTTGTAATTTCTTACTGTTTAGGGTGCTTCAAAATCATGATTTGTAAAAAAACTGCATCTTTGCAACAGCTGTAAATTTCATGAAATGTCAAGTTGAAAATTGCATTTAATCGCTTTAATTTGAAATAGTTCCAAAAAAATTAAGCGATGGCACATTTGACATTTAACAATAGGTCTGCATCAAATAATATTGATACACGTCATTTACGTATAAGTAGGTATCTTATTGTTTGACTTTATAGGTGTATTTGTCGTTCGTTGTCTAATATTACAGAAATGTCTTTTGCTCCTGAACTTAGAAGCCATTCACAAAAAGTATGTAATTTTTATAAACGAGCCATGAGAACTCTTGAAGCTTATCATGTTGCAAGGTAAACTTCTTCCGCATGTAAAATTTTGTCTTCGGCGTATGTTGTTTTTACGTATCATTATAAAATAAGCTTTTGGCTTGAAAACGGTATTGATTCAATTTTATTGGTGGGTGGGTTCAGGTGCATCACTTTAGTTATTTGAATTTATTTGTGCGACCGCTTGTCGATAACTTTTGTTAAATGAAACTATACGTAATTATTAATTTAAATTATTGCTAGATCATATTATTTGCACCATAATAAATCCAAACTATTTCCATGTCTTCATAATTTGAATGAGTTCCATAATAATAACTCTACGACATAAGGGCTAAGCGCGCACTACGATTAAAATTCGGTGCGACATAATATCGCAAATCTGTGAACAATAGAAAAACACTACAATCCGCGCTCTACGAAAATAAATCGTTTGCGATTTAAAATTGCAGATACGAAATCGTATGTATATTTTGTACCGTATGAAGTGACACCAAATCCCGCGCATTGCGAAAAAATAAAAAAAATCTTCAAACTTCTGTTACGTAGAATCAAGTACATAGTTTATGTGGTAACTTTATTTTGTAAATCCATGTTTCCGTGTACACTTATCACCCATATAGATTTAAATAACTGCCTCTAAATTATTTTGCCTAGTTTGTCGGGGATGGACTTTATCGGAGATGTCACTATCATGACCGCATCTTGTGCAATTGTCGAATATTACCCTCAGACACAGCCCACTGAGTTTCTCGCCGGATCTTCTCAGTGGGTCGCGTTTCCAATCCGGTGGTAGATTCTGCGAAACACGGCTCTTGCTAGGGTTCGTGTTAGTAACGTCGTCAAGTTTGAGCCCCGTGATCTCACCTATTAATTAAGGTTACGCTGATATAGCCTCTCAAGGCTCGCAGCTTAAATAGAAAAAAAAAAAACGTATACATTTACAGCGTTTGAAGGAAAGCACACTACGCAAAAGAATTGTATTTAAACCTAATTTAAACCTATTGTTAAATCGAAGTAAGCGGGTCGATCAATTTCTAATGTTCCTATTAGTGATTGATGAAGGAGTTGGACAAGCAGCTATGAACGTCGGATGGTTAATTACGATGTTGTCGACTAACTGGCATTGATGTATTAAAAATATACTAGATGATGAGCTTTGCTCGGTTTTTTTTTAATAACGCCATCTTGTTGTGTCTTTAAAGCGGTTAGTTGCCCTCAATTAAGAAAAATAGTATTATTATTCGACAATAGATGTCGGGAAGAGTTGATTATTGAAAACACGAATATAATAACATTTTCTGAAAATAAATCGTAGCTAGATCGATTTATCGCCCCCGAAATCCCCTGTGTACTAAATTTTATGAAAATCGTTGGAGCCGTTTCCGAGATTCAGATTAAATACATATATATTAATATACAAGAATTGCTCGTTTAAAGGTATAATATACAAGAATTGCTCGTTTAAAGGTATAAGATTTGAAAACTAGTACTAATTTTATTTTCGATAGACGTTTTATTAATCGAAATTAATGTCACCTTAATTCTTATTGGTAGATATGTTATACGTTACCATCAAGTTATTTTACGTAATGAATTGGACAAAAATAAGGCAGTTTGCGACCCTAAAGAACATCGTCGATTATTAAGAGTGGCAGAAAACGAATTGTTTATGAGTCAGCATCCTATCCCGGTGGCTAAATGTGTGTATTTTTGTCAAATCTTTTATCTTAATTAAACCCATTTAAATTTGTTCCACTTTTTCTCTGAACAAATGAATGAATTAGCTCATTTGTTATGAAATGGTTACAGAAAACCATAGATACAATGTTTTGAATGTCGTCACACAAACCGCTAGTTTCAAAATTCGATGTTGGTTTTTTATAAAAAATCGGTAATAGTCAGTTGTTCAGATTTAATTGTTGTGTGTATTATGCATAATTCCTATTTGATTATGAACATAGTTTTACTTGGATATCAAAATGCTAGGTGGTAAAAAGAAACGATTTCAGTACCTATTAAGAACATCATATATTAACCTTAATCTTAAGCTTTTGTATATTGTCAAAAGTGGTACAAATTGACAAGCTCTAAGGTTCTCCTGCTAAATAATTTTAACAATTTCATTTCCAGTTGCTAGATCGGTGGGTATTGCCGGCGGTGTAGCCTACGATCGTGTTCAAGTGATACCTGATTGGGTAATGGATTATTGGCATCCTCTAGAAAAGGCACATTATCCTGAATATTTCAAGAGACGTGAGTGTAGGAAATGTGAATACATTAAGAAATGGAATGATGGTGAAATACGTTAGTTTTTTTTGTAAATAAACTGAGTTAGTTTAATAAAAAATATTGTGTTCATTTTAATATTTATTTTGAATATATTACTAAAGTTTTTCAATAGATAATTATTCAAAAAATTATAAATATATGCTAGTGCTATTATGTCATAATACCTATTATAACTATTTGACATTTTCTAGCTGTAAAAGCTGTTGTTATGGTGATGCTATTGATATGCAGGATCAAGAATGTGGGGGTGACTATCGAACCTTGTGGAACGTTCACGTTTGTCCCCGTTTGATGTTCTGATATCAAAGCAGACCCCAGCCGCATCCCGGATTCACTCTCGGTTTTCACTAACTAATCCATAGACACAGCCCACTGAGTTTCTCGCCGGATCTTTTTAGTGGGTCGCGATTCCGATCCGGTATTAGATTCTGCGGAGCACTGCTCTTGCTAGAGCGGCAGAGTACACCAGGACGTGAATGGCTTCACTAGATTATAAAAAATGGAAGCTATCGTGATAGGTTTATATCTTGAGTGATGGTGAAAAATTCATAATATAGGTAATATAAACGAGGCCATAAGATTCATTACTATCTACCTATTAATTTAACTTTTAATTATGGTAGGGAGTATAGAGTAGAGAACCTTATGTACCTGTAGATTTAAAACATGTCACTTTTGAAACTGGAATTCATGACTGCTGCGTCAAATTTTACTCATTCCTATTGAGGTTCACGGGGATCCATTGGATGCAGGCAGTGCAGGACCGATCTTTGTAGTGAGGCTTGAAGAGGCCTATGTCCCGCAGTAAACGTCTGTGGGCTGATAGTGTCAGAAAGCATGGTTGTTCCTTGAGTGGGTTTATAATATGGTGATCTACTTACAAAGATAATTCCTATTTTTTTTATCATGTATGCACGGAAAAAACCTCAGTTGGGAATTTTTACGATAATAACTTAACACTTACAAAAAAATACAGGTATTCTTGGCTTTACCATATGGTTCAATATGCAAATATGTCGACTAAGTATAAACGTTAGGTGTTCCACAAAATGCCGAAATACAAATTGAGAACGGTTTCGAAATTATTCATTTTGCCACGAAGCTTTTGTGTTGGAAAACTACGATTTATTGGAAGACAATAATTGGAAACGTCAAGCGTCAACGTTGAATTTTGTCAAATGTCTGAAAGATGGAATAAAATTTAGGTTATTGAGATTTATAAACATTGAAAATTATGTAGTTAATTAATAGGGTTATGTTTATGAAACATTAAAGAGCATGTTCGTTTAATAAAGTAATTTTCAACAAAAAATACATTATTGTCATACAAAATAATGAACAAGTTCAATATTTAGGGAGCAGATTTCTGATATTAATGAGAAAATTTTATTAAACTATTGTATTTAAAAAACAACTAAATCATGGCCGAGGCTAATAAAAGTGATGTAAAATCCCCAATGACCGAAGAGGAGAGATTAGAGTTGTGCCAGAAGCTAGACAAAGAGCTAGATGAATTTATAGACAGCTTAGAAAAGAGGAGGTATACCGAGGGTTGGCCTGAAGATAGATGGGAGGTATGTGTCTATTTTGTTTGCTCTTAAAAAGTGCTGTTTTTATAGAGAAGGACGTGAGTCGTATTGTAATCAAATATATTTTGATTTGGTTAATTGAATTTTATAATACAATCTATAAAATAAACATTAAAATCATTTGCAACGGTATACTAATTGTTACGTTTCTGAGTAATGTATGCTGAATGACGAAAACAAAAAAACGAATTCATATTTCATAACACACTATATGTTTAGGAACTCAAGAAGTCAATAATATTGTTTTTTGATGAAAAAGTTCAATGTATATTATAAAACATGTATTTAAAACATTGAACTCTTATACCATGATTGTACCAAAAGCCGATTCTAATAGGCTATTTACTCAAATTTATTTAGGAGGAAATGGACAAACATCCATTTTTTATGAAGTCGACTCCTGAAAATGGTGAGCTTTCTCCACTGGCAGAGGGTCTCGCAAATCTCAAGTTTGATCCAGAAGAAAACACACCTGTTGAACTAGCTACTAATTACAAAGAGGATGGAAATTTCAATTTCAAACACAAGAATTATAGACTTGCAATATTAGGGTAAGTTGTAATTTATAGATCTACTTTATGAAATTAATTTAATTCAGAATTACTTTACTGGGATTGTTGCAAATATGTTTTTTTTTGTTTTAATGTATCTTTATTAAAGCCATGACTTGTTTGGTTAGTTTCATTGAATGTTATTATAAGGGAGTTAATCTGTCGAAATTTAAGATAAAATGTTATATTTTATGTTTGAGTTTTGATATTCTATCTTAGGTACACCGAAGGTATAAAACAAAGATGTGATAATGCTGAGATTAATGCCAGTTTGTACAACAACCGTGCTGCTGCCCACTGGCACTTAAAGAACTTCAGATCTGCACTCGGAGACAGTGAAAAAGCGTTATCTTTCAGTCCAAATCATACTAAAGCTAAAATACGAGCTGCTAAGTCAGCATTTCAAATAGCAAAGTACCAGACCTGTATAAAATACTGTGAAGAAATCTTAGAAAATACAAAGGATAAGGAAATTTCTGAACTCCTGAGTAATGCTAAGAAAAAGAAAATAATAATGGTAGTTATTTTACTTACATTAAAATTTAAAAATATTAATCCTCATTGCTTTTTAAGTTGAACTCTAGTATCAATACAATATTTATTTGCAGTAGAAATAAGCACGAGATGATACTGTTATAATCTCATCAGCTCTTAAGCTTACTGGTGGTAGGACCTCTTGTGAGCCCACACGGGTAGGTACCACCACTCCGCTTATTTCTGCCTTGAAGCAGTAATGCGTTTCGGTTTGAAGGGTGGGGCAGACGTTGTGACTATACTCAGACCTTAGAACTTATATCTCAAGGTGTGTGGCGCATTTACGTTGTAGATGTCTATGGGCTTCATTAACCACTTAACACCAGGTGGGCTGTGAGCTCGTCCACGCATCTAAGCAATAAATAAAAAAAAAACTTGCAACACATAACCAGTAAAATTTTAATAAAACACTAAATATGTATTAGGCAAACTTCATCAATGGATTAAATTAATGAATTTTTTTAGTGTATAATATGTTCTGTAAATACGCCACGAAACATAGACCATGAATTTACATGTATTTCTATGTATGTACATCTATGGGATTATAGGGGATAATTATCTTCCTAGCTAATATCATTTAACAACATATTATAGGCATAATTGTAATAAGGTCTATTTTACTTTTTTATTAGTCCATTTGACGATGCTCTTACAAAGAATATTCGGTTGGATACCTACATATTGTAATACTTTTTTATCGATGTGTATGTACCGTTTTCATTTAGAATTTTTCAAATTGTTTAACGTATGCTACAATAATATTTTTTTCCAGGAAAGAGATCAAAGGAAACAGGCTCGTAATATACAAAATATTACGGAGCAAAAAGACGCGGTACTCAAAGCCATAATAGAACGAGGAATCAAAATATCCAATTGTGATGACGAAGATGACATTGACCTCTCGAAACTTGAGCCAAGTCTTCCTGGAGCTCACGATGCAATAGTACACGTGGAAGATGGATTACTAAAATGGCCCGTGTTATTTTTATATCCAGAATACCAAATGACTGACTTCGTACGTGGTTGCCCTGAGAATGTGCCGCTTTCTTGTCAGTTGGAGCAGCTATTCCCAGCTCCGTGGGACGAAAAAAATAAATACAGTGTTGCCAGTGTAAATGTTTATTTCGAAGGTTACGTTAAAATGCCGCACGTCATAGATCCGTCAAAGAATTTGGGGGATCTGCTGGTAACGAAATATTTCGAATTGAGAGCCGGCACCCCAGCGTTTTTCGTGTTGCCGCGCGGTAGCAAGATCGAAAGTCGATTTTTGGAAAATTATATTTAGTGCTACTTTTTTTACATTTGACGTTAATTTTATTGCAATATAATAAACGTTTTTAACAAAATTAAGATCTTTTTCGATTTCACACAATTAAATTAAAAAAAAATATGTTTATTTAATGTTTAATACTTAACCATTACCATTATATTTTTATTTAGTGGGTTTTGTGTACTCAGACCACGACCTTATTCGAACCGTTACCGTTGTTATGGCCATCCACGAATACAGCCTTAAATACAAAGCGTATATACGGTAACGTAAATCTCGAAGGCTGGCTATCGAGTTTACTGGTGGCAAGGGCGGATCCAGCTTTGGTGCCAGGAGGGGGTCACATAGTCATGGTCAAGTCAAGAACTTATAATTGTTGACTTGACCATGACTATGTGACCCCCTCCTGGTGAAGTTGTCGTGGCCTAAAGGATAAGAAGTCCGGTGCATTCGTATCGAGCGATGCACCGGTGTTCGAATCCCGCAGGCGGGTACCAATTTTTCTAATGAAATACGTACTTAACAAATGTTCACGATTGACTTCCACGGTGAAGGAATAACATCGTGTAATAAAAATCAAACCCGCAAAATTATAATTTGCGTAATTACTGGTGGTAGGACCTCTTGTGAGTCCGCACGGGTANGTCCTTAAATCATTATGTTCAATATGTGGTCCACCTAGGTCCTGGAACCTGCTCAGGGGGGGGTCATGACCCCCGTGACCCCCCCCCTGGATCCGCCCTTGACTGGTGGTAGGATCTCTTGTGAGTCCGTGCGGGTAGGTACCACCACCCTGCTTATTTCTGCCGTGAAGCAGTAATGCGTTTCGGTTTGAAGGGTGGGGCAATCGTTGTAGCTATACTGAGACCTTAGAACTTATATCTCAAGCTGGGTGGCGCATTTACGTTGTAGGTGTCAATGGGCTTCAATAACCACTTAACATCAGGTGGGCTGTTAGCTCGTCCACCCATCTAAGCAATAAATAAAAAAGTACTATAACATGTAATTATCCGTTTTTGTATCGAGCATTCGATACATTTACATTATATTTAACGGCCGTCTGGTATCTACATAAGGGGGTCGCAGGTTCGAATCCCGCCAAGGGAAGATATTTGTATGATAAATATAAATGTCTTTTCCAGGGTTATGGATGTATATTAAATATATGTATGTGTATAATAAAAATCTTACATTTATTTCCGTTATCTGGTACCTTAACACACAGTTAACGTGGCGTGATTGTTAGTAAATATTTATTTATTATTATTTATTATACAATTCGATAGATTTTCGTGCTTGACGTAAAGTCAGAATTATAAAGCGCTTTCTGTTTTTTAAAATTCAAACTTTATATTTTTAAAACGAAATTTTATTTAAAAGTGTCATTTTCGATTTTAATCTACATCGTCGTCCATGTCGTATCCTTTCTGGTGGGGATAGTAGGCGCCGGGATGGGAGAACGTATCCTTGTCATCTATCGAGGAGTACGGCTGATGGGGAATGGCGCCCATCCATTGTGGATACCAATAAAGACCCTGACAAATAAAACGTTGAAGTTATTCTGAGGCCTCAGATTGATACTGTAAAAAAGTAATGGCAATTGAATCGATTATAAACTGTGTTCAAGTTCAAGAACAAAGTACCTAATTATTGTAAGAATATTGAACATTTATTTATGCCTTTTTTTTTTTTAACTCTGGGGAATCAATTTACGGATACCCGGTCGAGGGGGGACTTTTATTTATGCCTACGATCTTTTGTCGTCGGAGAAGCAATCTTCTTGATAGAAATTTAAAACATAATACAATACAGAACTGTGATATCGGTTAGTTACTTCCAAGTATGTATTACTTACTTACTTCCAAGTATGTATTTTCTAGAGATTTTATCTACTAAGTTTTTTTATTTTTTATTTTTATTCTCCTTGTAGGCAGACGAGCATACGGCCCACCTGATGGTGAGTGGTTACCGTTGCCCATGGACTTTAGCAGTGCTAGGGGCAGAGCCAAGCCGCTGCCTAAAAAGCCTAACTTAAGTAACTAAAGAAAAACCAAAATTTGCTGGCGTGGCAAGAGTGAGACTTCTAGGAGTGGGTGATATAAATCGTATATAGATTCAATATCTATATATCGCAGCAATATCGTTGAATCCGATATCGCCCCGCACGAAATCTATATATCGATATCAGCCGATACACGATATTGCTCGATGTGATGCGCATCGCCATATCGTACCGATTCGTGAATCGAAATCTATATTTCGATATCAGCCGATACACGATATTGCTCGATGTGATGCGCATCGGCATATCGTACCGATTCGTTAATATCAGCAATATTCGTTTGGTTCGTATCGAATCGGCCAGAGTGAGTGAGCGCACGATAGGGATATCATGTGATGAATGAAACAGAAACAGGCATTATCCATACAATTGTAAACCTTATATTTAAGTCCATATGTCTGTAGATTATTCTTAGCGTATCAGCAGGATACAATTAAGGAAAGAAGTTTCAACTTTCGACCCTAACTTGAATGCAGTATAGCCTATTTGCATCGTTGAATTTAATTTCACGCGCTTTGACCTTGAACTAGAATTTTTGGACAAGTGTTTATAAATACTTAAAAGTTTTTTGTGTTTGATTTTTAAAGTACACATTTTTCTATTTTTAGTTGAATCCAAATAATTGAGTTTATTTCTTGTGTTTGTATTAAACTTTTGAAATCTACACTCTTTTGGTATATTTTGTAATTTTAAATTAAGACACAAAATACTAAAAACTGAAAATAATGTAGCCAGTCCTAAGCCTGGTAAAAGCATGAAGGAAAGTTTTTTTGATATTTTTATTTTCATGTTCTTTTTATTACTTTAAGATCATATTATAAATTGATATCAGAAAACCAACCGTATAACGTTGACTTAAATCTATATCTACTACGATATTATATCAGCGTATCGTTTTAAATCTCAAATATCATGAATCGAGAAAATCTACTAGCATCCATCAATATATAGATTCAGAAAATATATAGATTCAATATCCGATATTGATCCTCGATATATAGATACGATTCGATACGCGGCAAAACCGATATTACCCACTCCTAGAGACTTCCCATTAAGAGTCTGGAAATATGCAGTGACGTAGATCTCGGAAACCAGTCCATTTTCAAATCAAATTATTATAAAAAAGGGAACTTTCTCAAAACAGCAGTAAGTAATCTTTACATTGTGGCTTCACCGGATGACCACCTATTGTTTCTCGTTAGAGTAGCTAATTGGCTTTCACGAGTCATTTAATTGGCAATAGTCACATTGCACGCTAAGATTTACTAGATTCAAAATGTTAACTTACTTTATTCCCACCGGCGTTACACGTAAACCTGTCGTCGTGTAAATCTACCGGATCTAAATAGCTCTTGCCTGCTATCGAACCGTAGTTTGGGGGGTACATGAATAAACAACCGTCCAGAATATCTGAAATATCAGATAAGTGATGAGAGTGGGCTTTGCATATGTCCGGTTGTGGCACAGCAGTGGACAAAATTTTCGAATTAGGTGTCTTCAACAAACTAACAACCTACTTTGTTTTACCATTAGAATCAAAATGGGAAATGTTAAGAAAAATTTGGAAAAACTAAAATAGGTACCCTAATACTATGACATTAACTAAGAAATTGACGAAATCTGAGAAAAAGGATCAAAGTAAACTCGGTACTCATATTAAGCAAAATTGAATCGGTGAAAAAATAATGTGGTTCAAAGAGGACTATCTCATCTTGTCGCCGGTAGCGACTTCAATAACCCAGAACATTCTTGTTAGTGCTAAATTATCACGTCAATTTATATGTCATCATCATTTTTGGAAAGTCGAANTAACTAAGAAATTGACGAAATCTGAGAAAAAGGATCAAAGTAAACTCGGTACTCATATTAAGCAAAATTGAATCGGTGAAAAAATAATGTGGTTCAAAGAGGACTATCTCATCTTGTCGCCGGTAGCGACTTCAATAACCCAGAACATTCTTGTTAGTGCTAAATTATCACGTCAATTTATATGTCATCATCATTTTTGGAAAGTCGAAAACATAGTAATAAAGCTCTCACAAGGCACAGTTATGTTGTCGTCTTCCACTGGCTCATCTGGTTTGGGCGTGGGCTCGATGTACGGGGGGACCGGATCGATTCCAGTTCCAGGATCGCCGGGTATTAGAAATGGACCTGAATTAGAACGGTTTAAAATATGTCTATAAGATTAAGGGATTACGCGTTAAAGAGAAGCCATAGGCGTCTCTAGTTAGGGCCCATGTGCAATCATTATCCTTGCGCCCTTAGCGAATAGTGCCGAGGCCGACGTCCCCTAAAGCCGCTGGTACCGTAACCAACCGTAGATCGGTCGTTAAACTTTAAATCCAACTACAACAGTGTGCTTAGTGCGACTTTTTTAATGTTCTCGATAGCATAAAAGTTAACTCAAGTTTGTATGGAGTTTGTCTGGTTGTAGTGTTGACCGCGGGAACCCCCCTACTCTGACCGGGTTTTGACCCCGGACGGAGATCGGACGCCGGGTGTAAGAGTGCAGGGGAGTCGTTTAGTGGGTGGGCCCTAAATTCCTTGGGCCCGCGGTCTGCTCTCAACACCTGCAGATCGTTGAGTCTCACATACTCCGTGCGCCCCCTAGGCGCGAGGACCTCGCAGGAGGTTCGGCCCTCGGCCCGAAAAAAAAAGTTTGTATGGAGTTTGCCAACGTTTGCCAACGTTTGCCGCTAGGGGCGCTGTTCCAACTCCATACAAATTTGAGTTAACTTATACGTTATCGAGAACGTTAAAAAACTCGCACTAAGCATACAAGATATTAAGGTTGGGATAATCGACTGGCTCGATGGTGCAGTAGTTAGCGCCTCTAACTGTTGCGCTGAGGTTCGTGAACTCGATTCCCACATCGGTCAAACATTCGTGAGATGAACGTTTTAAATGATTATGTTTGTTAGCCCTCTATTTATGCGTATATTTAAACGTTTATAAGTATGTATATCAATCTCCGATGTCTATAATAGAGGGAATCCCAATGAACGTGCGTGATTTAAAAAAAAAATAGAAACAAAGGGTTGGTACGTCCTTTCTTTGTGTGTTCATTTAATATCTTTGGAAATAATCACGCGTCCGAATAGCAATTTTGAAATTTCAACTTCACATTTCGAAGTGAGCGATGAAGTTCACTGATATATTGTCGATTTGAGGGCTCCCGAACTATATGTTCAGGTGAGCTGTGAGAGTGACCGTATTTACTTTAAAAAAAAAACTCCAAGTAGATTTATATTCACCGCCATAATGATTTGTGTAGTTCCATTCGCAGACGTGGTGGTCGCAAATAAGCGGAGAGTTTGGTTCCTTAGTGTAGTACGTGTAGCCGTTTGGTACTGTCTGAAAATATACTATTATCTTTGGATTTGTGCACCAAATATTGTAATAGTTATCAAATAAAATATATACACCAAACACGCGAAACTGTGAATGGTAAATTTAGTGTCGGTTCTGTGTCAGAATTTTTGATTTATAACCTCACTAAATCAGTTGTAGGTACTATTAGCTGATGGCCATAAATAAAATAAAAAAGCTCTTTATTCCATGCAATTACATTTTTTTTTTGGATGATTTGGCATAGTTTACACTAATCTTATAATTATGTGTTAATTAAAAACAAAACATTTTAATAGAGAAATGAGAGGGTGTGTTTTTCTGTACACAGAATAAAAAAAGCAATTATCGGTAAGAGCGATCTCTTCCGGACAATCATGTCGGTTTGTTAGTTTGTCGTCGGTTTCGTGTATGTCTTTTAAGAAAGCATTGAAAAGAATGACCACTACCAAATATAATTAATCCGTTCTCGTTCTAATTCTTATCTTATCGATCACCTGTCGAGTCTCTCTCTTAGTCTATGTCTAAGTCTTGACAGGTCGTATGTCCTGTCAAAGAGGTTGCACGCCACGACAGGTGAACAGCATAGACCTATATACTTCAGTGGCGAACAAGAATCATTGAATACAAAATTTAATTTAAAAAAATTCAACAGATATTTATTTAATTACCACTTTTTATCCTGTTCGAAAATCCAAAAATACTTTACCAATAAATAGTCGTAGTGGCGATACCGCAAGCCTTGGATATTGAAGTCTAGTATGAAAGATCCCGATGTGATGACACACGAGGTGGCGGTCAGTGGAGGCAGCTTGTACATGATCAGACCACACTTCACTATGGCCTTCGGCAATGTTACCACATCGCGTTCGTTCTGAAGGAGTTTCTTAAACGGGAAACTGATTGTAACGGAAAAATACTTTGTTAAAACAAATAACTTGTTTATTTTTTAAGTAATCCTAGTGTATAAATAAAACGGCCATCTGGTGTAGTGGTAACTGACATGGTCACTACACAAGGGGGACAGGAGTTAATGGAGGAACATAGTCCTAACAAAAGTGCTCAGTAAAGGTCACGGCCCTCAGAACTGAGGAATACGACGCACGGAGGAGGATTTATTTATAAATGTGTATTAAAGGTCTGTATTAGAGGAAGAGTTAGACCTAAGAAGAAATGGATGGATTGCGTGAAAGGCGACATGTGTAAGAGTGGGGAGTGAGCGAAGAAATGGTATATAATAGAGAAGTATGAAAGGAAAAAATATGTTGCGCTGACCCCAGGTGACTGGGAGAAGGGCAGGAGAACGATGATGCATTAATGGTATCCATTCAAAGATGTACTGAACGATAAGAGGAAATGCAATGCAACTGACGAAGATATTGAAGACAGAGCGAAGTGGAGGAGTAGAATAAGGAAAGCTGACCCCATCACCATGTGTGACATAAATAGCTAGAAAGAGAGAAAGAGATTAAGGGTATGTAAATATGTATGTCAGTCTCCGGTTCTTATAGTACAGGGAGTTCTAGTTCGAAGGTAGATGAGCGTGTGTGACTTGTGTCAATTTATTATTATTAAGTAAAAGTTTGACATATTTCATGGGGGTGCTCTGACGATTTGTTTGTTATGTACTTGTCATCATTTCTCTTTTACTATCGAACGTGGGTGAAATTTGCTGTATTTGCCGTTACAGCAAATTTCACCCACCATCCCCAGTTCGTTAGCTGATATTTTTTCAGCTAAGTACCATTCGGCTCTACACTGTGTCCATTGTTCCTAGGCGCTTTATTTTTCCCTGACCAAGGTGATAGCCTTGAGAGGCTATTTCAGCGAAACCTTAACTAGTAGGTGAGCTCACGGGGCTCAAACCTGACGACGTTGCTAATACGAACCCTAGCAAGAGCCGTGCTTCGCAGAATCTACCACCGGATCGGAAACGCGACCCACTGAGAAGATCCGGCGAGAAACTCAGTGGGCTTCCTGGGCGCAATTATATACAAATGGTCAGGAGTTACATACGTTCTTGGTACCGCTCTGCCGTATGCGTGAGAGAAAGGGAAGCCAGACAGACTTGCGCCGTAACGCGTTACGTAACGAAATTGTTTATGAAGTTCTTCCTTTCTTATGAAGTTATCACCCCTTCTTCTTCTCAATCGTTTCACTCTTGACAGAGTGGTCGTGATCGTCATGTAGTGTTGGGCAGACTTGATGCGTCTCACGATGTCACGCCATCTCCCCTTCTCGAGGCCATTCTACTGCACTCATTTAGGGGACCTCCCACTGCAGTTTTAATTTGGTCACCCCAGAATACGCAATATCAATCAGTTGAAAAATAAATTGAAATCATTTGTTAAAACTCACCGAAATATACAGATACCGATGTGACACTCCAGTCCGTGTAAATAGTTGTCGGTGGGGAACGAGATGCTTGGGTCGTCGAGCAAATAGTACTTTTGCTCGTCGTGGTAATGCAGGAGCCCGAGGAAGACGAAGGACCTGTCCTTGCAGTAGGGCGCAGGACCGCGTCCCATGTTGTAGATGTCGCTGTACAACTCCGAGACGAAGAGGTAAACATTCTTGCCGCAGTAGAACTCTGGGCAGATGAAGAAATCAAGACAAATTGTGATGGTTATATGATTTATTTCTGGCTTAACAGAATATCGCGATTATTTGTTGCACTGAAAATAATAACTTTAGTAGTAAACAAGATTATAAGAGTAGCTACCAAATGCTATAATAATATATTATGCTCTGCGTGTAATGGATTTCGACAGTTAAACTGTTGTTTTTTTTTTCAATTTGTTTATGCCATTCCCGCTTTTAGCGGTGCTAATATTGTTATTTTTGTTTTAATTGGTACCAGTAAAAATGATTCTGGAACTTTAACTGTTGTATGTTTAGGGATTGTCTTCGTTCAAGGGCTTCGTTTTGGCCCTGGTATTGCTGACGTCCATGAGCTAAGGTAACCACCCATCAGCTGGGCCGCCTCGTTTGCTTACAAGGACACTAGCTTGGACTTTTTGTGGTTCGACTTTCATGTAACTAATCCTCTAGCAGTCTAGCTCGACGAACGCAAAAAGTTCCGGCGACCAGAATGACATTTACAAAAGATGAAAATCATTCGTTAATTGTCCCATACATTCCGCATATCGTCAAGGTTTACCTTGACTAAGATAAAACTCCATAGGAACTGGTCCACCAGTGTACGTAGCTTTACGTTCGGCAGCTATAGAGTTATGGTTCTCGTACATCGTGAGCATGTTGTCTATGACGTCATCTAAGGTGATCAGCAAAACCTGAAACAATACGTTGTTGCGTCATCACAAAACTAATAATTGCATTTATTTGTTTCAGTGATGGATTTAGGTTTGATACCACCCTATTTTCTTTTTATTGGTAAGACGGGTAGACGAGCTCACAGCCCATCTGGTGTTAAGTGGTTACTGGAGCCCATAGACATTTATAACGTAAATGTGCCACCCACCTTGAGATATAAGTTCTAATGCCTCATATAGTTACAACGGCTGCCCCATCCTTCAATCCGAAACGCTTTACTGCTTCACGGCAGAAATAGGCAGAGTGGTGGTACCTACCCGTGCGGACTCACAAAAGGTCCTACCACCAGTAAATAGTTCCTATTTATCGCGACGCCCTTAACGTTAGAATAAATTTGTGAAAACAATATCACCTACGATTCAAGAAAACCGCGGAATTTGTTACCAACTTAAAATTACTTTTCAAATGGCCATTATCGTTAAACTGCAACTTCATAGTCAAAAGACCTATTAGTAATACTTTTGTACGTTGATTGATTGTCGTTGATGTTTGGTGTGTATAGTGTACGTCGAAATGCAAAAAAAAACAATTTGAGTGTTGGTACATATAAAAAAAAGCTGTCAATGTCAATGTAATTGAAATTAAATTTTCGGTTACCTTCAATTCCTGAATATGGAGCTTAATAAATCTTCCCAAATGATCTGTGGCCACGTGGATTCGTTCGTTTATCAGATACTGTAAAAATTGTTTGATCGATAATTGCAAGACTAATGTCGAGTAAGCCAATGCGAAGTCACGTTATTTCGGATCCTCCCGATCCATTCACGGTGCTTTTAGGTACCGCAAGCACCGGTCATCGTTCTCGTCGAACCTCGACGAGTAAATTAACCCATAGACACAGAAGTTTCTCGCAGGATCTTCTCAGTGGGTCGCGTTTCCGATCCGGTGGTAGATTCTGCGAAGCACGGCTCTTGCTGGGGTTCGTGTTAGCAACGTCGTCAGGTTTCAGCCCCGTGAGCTCAACTACTAGTTAAGGTTACGCTTCACTCTGACACTCCAATTTTATTTATATGTATAGATATGTCGAATAAAATGAGGTTATGGGTGTAAATAAAAGGGAAGACGTGATTTCAATGTATGTAATTTACATGAAATACAAACCACTAAATCGTGGCTTGGAAGGAAGGTATGCAAATGAATTTTACTAATGAGAAGTAAGTCATAATTATTTCACAACTTTTAATTTTGAACTCACAAGAATTACCTAGTTAAACATTTTNAATTTACCGTCACATTTTTCGGTTACGCGTCACATTTTTCCGTTACGCGCCATCTGTTTTGTATTCATGTCTATGATAATAAAATCCTTTTGTTTAAACTTTATCTAATTTAACTTTTTTGTATTCATGTCTATGATAATAAAATCCTTTTGTTTAAACTTTATCTAATTTAACTTTATTTAACCAATTTCTAGAAAGTTGCATGAAGATCATTTTTCGAAAAATAAGGCCATAAATAAGTTTCACTTCTTACGTGTGTACACTAGTACACGCACACATTTTTTATTTATTTATTTATTTATAAATGTGTATTAAAGGTCTGTATTCGAGGAAGAGTTAGACCTAAGAAGAAATGGATGAATTGCGTGAAAGACGTCGTGGCCTAAAGAATAAGTCGTCCGGTGCATTCGTGTTGAGCGATGCACCGGTGTTCGAATCTCGCAGGCGGGTACCAATTTTTCTAATGAAATATGTACTTAACAAATGTTCACGATTATCTTTCACGGTGAAGGAATAACATCTTGTAATAAAAATCAAAACCGCAAAATTATAATTTGCGTAATTACTGGTGGTAGGACCTCTTGTGAATCCGTGCGGGTAGGTACCACCGCCCTGCTTATTTCTGCCGTGAAGCAGTAATGCGTTTCGGTTTGAAGGGTGGGGCAGCCGTTGTAACTATACTTGAGACCTCAGAACTTATATCTGAAGGTGGGTGGCGCATCTACGATGTAGATGTCTATGGGCTCCAGTAACCACTTAACACCAGGTGGGCTGTGAGCTCGTCCACTCATCTAAGCAATAAATTAAAAAAAAAAGACGACATGTGTAAGAGTGGGGAGTGAGCGAAGAAGTGGTGTATGATAGAGGAGTATGGAAGGAGAGAGCATGTTGCGCTGACCTCAGGTGGCTGGGAGAAGGGCAGGAGAATGATGATGCATTTAAAGAGATCTATACATTTAAAGAGGTGCTGAACGACAAGAGGAAATGCAATGCTACTGACGAGGATGTTGAAGACAGAGCGAAGTGGAGGAGTAGAATAAGGAAAGCTGACCCCATCACCATGTGTGACATAAATAGCTAGAAAGAGAGAAAGAGATTAAAGGTATGTAAATATGTATGTCAGTCTCCGGTTCTTATAGTACAGGGAGTTCTAGTTCGAAGGTAGATGAGCGTGTGTGACTTTTGTCAATTTATTATTATTAAGTAAAAGTTTGACATATTTCATTGGGGTGCTCTGAGGATTTTTGAGCTATGTGCTCATCATTTCCCGTTTACTATCGAACATCTACCGTTACAGCAAATTTCACCCACCATCTCCAGTTCGTTAGCAGATATTTTTTCAGCTAAGTACCAATCGGCTCTAGATTATGTCCATTGTTCCTGGGCCCTTTTTTTTCGTGACTAAGCTGATAGCCTTGAGAGGCTATTTCAGCGGAACCTTAACTAGTAGGTGAGCTCACGGGGCTCAAACCTGACGACGTTGCTAACACGAACCCTAGCAAGAGCCGTGCTTCGCAGAATCTACCACCGGATCGGAAACGCGACCCACTGAGAAGATCCGGCGAGAAACTCAGTGGGCTTCCTGGGCGCAATTATATACAAATGGTCAGGAGTTACATACGTTCTTAGTACCGCTCTGCCGTATGCGTGAGAGAAAGGGACGCCAGACAGACTTGCGCCGTAACGCGTTACGTAACGAAATTGTTTATGAAGTTCTTCCTTTCTTATGAAGTTATCACCCCTTCTTCTTCTTCTTCTTCTCAATCGTTTCACTCTTGTCAGAGTGGTCGTGATCGTCATGTAGTGTTGGAAGGGGCAGACTTGATGCGTCTCACGATGTCACGCCATCTCCCCTTCTCGAGGCCATTCTACTGCACTCATTTAGGGGACCTCCCACTGCAGTTTTAATTTGGTCACCCCACAAAGAAATTGAAATCATTTGTTAAACCTCACCGAAATATACAGATACCGATGTGACACTCCAGTCCGTGTAAATAGTTGTCGGTGGGGAACGAGATGCTTGGGTCGTCGAGCAAATAGTACTTTTGCTCGTCGTGGTAATGCAGGAGCCCGAGGAAGACGAAGGACCTGTCCTTGCAGTAGGGCGCAGGGCCTCGGCCCATGTTGTAGATGTCGCTGTACAGCTCAGAGACGAAGAGGTACACGTTCTTGCCGCAGTAGAACTCTGGGCAGATGAAGAAATCAAGATATACAATGTAATGGTTATGTGATTTATTCCGGTTATATGGGAGTTACTGGTGGTAGGACCTCTTATGAGTCCGCACGTGTAGATACCACCACCCCGTCTATTTCAACCGTGAAGCCGTAATGCGTTTTAGTTCGAAGGGTGGGGCAGTCGTTGTAACTATACTGAGACCTTAGAACTTACATCTCAAGGTAGGTGGTGACATTGCAGATGTCTATGGGCTCCGGTACCCGCTTAACACCAGGTCGGCCGTGAGCTCCTCCACACACCTAAGCAATAAAAATGAATAAAAACGCGATGATTTGTTGCACTGAACATAATGACTTTATAGTATGTAGAAAACAAGCATAAAAGATTATCTACCTAATGTTATATTTCAATCGTTATTTTTCTTTTTTCAAACTTTTGTTTATGCCATTCACGTGTTTAGAGGTGCTGATATTTATTTAAGCCACATATTACATAAGTCGTCTTAAATACATAGTAATAAGAACACACCATGGGGATTTCTTTGTCTTAGTAAGGATTGATTTATCGATTTACTTACTGTCTATAAAACCTATCGTATCCAGTATTGTGTTAATTGGTACCGGTAAAAATGATTCTGGAACTTTAACTGTTGTATGTTTAGGGATTGTCGTTATCTGCCGTGACATCGGCATCGCGCGAGTCGCTTATAAGTTTTCGGTTAGCAGTGGTTCCGTTTTGCCCCTGGTATTGCTGACGTCCATGAGCTGAGCTTATCAGCTAGGCCGGCTAGTTTGCTTAC